CAACACCTACGAAGATACTCTGCAGAGACTTGGATGCTGTCGGGGGACGGACGCTGCTGTCTGCCTCGATCAACGAGCGATCGAGGCTGAGGAAGTATCGAGCGGTGAGAGATGGGTAATGGGGCGGCCACTAAACAGCAAGTGAGTATCCGCGTCGAGCAGGCGTACAGAGATAACTGACGGTATAGTTTGTGAAAAATCCTGTTGATGGCAGAAAGAAGGGCAGGTTCAGAGCATTGAGTCTGTCTTGCCAGCGAAGGTGACCCGTTAAGACCACGCTGTCATACCTGACGAAGAGGTTTGAGTGGAACGAAAGGCGCGACAGGCACGGTACAAACCATATGACTTCTGTATGAGGCCCAACTTTGCACCTCAGTTCGTTCTGCAGCATTGCAATCCAGGTACACAACGCCTGCGTTTGTTCGGTACCTCCCCTGAGTGGACATTCAAAATTCAGGAGGTACCCGTCGAAGCCTCTCTGGACCGCGAGGTCCGCAAGCAAGCGTACATAGTGCTTAGACACAGGAAATGAATTATCCTGGCAAGCCACCGCTGGTCCCGTGGACGATTGAGGAAGACGACCCACAAGGAGTCGTAGGCAGTCTTGTTCACTATCTCCTTCGAATATTCTGGTCGTGTGAGCTAGTTAGTGAAAGACACTCTATAACCAGAGACTGTGAGGACGAACAAAGTGCCGAGCATTTTGACACCCTGACGATGAGCCGTGTTGATCCATCCGGGAGGCGGTATGGTCACTCTGTGATGTGAGAAGCTAAACACACACGTGAGGTCTGAACGTTTGCAAGCTACTATTCATCTGCCTTACTAGATGAACGTCGAGCAGAGGGACCAAAAGTTGAACGTGTACGCCAAAGCGGAGGGCTTCTCCGTGTATCCTCCCTATGGACAGCGCGCTTAGCTTATTGAAATAACGAAGAACTATCATAGCTAAACTATGATGATTTACTTTATAGTCATGGCACACCTTCCTGAGGTATCAGCGGTGCCTATCAATGCTGCACGAGGAAAAGGTGCATCACCAGAAGCTGACCTCGGCCATCATCCGCAACACCTTGTACTTTCCCCCTCGGAGTATATCTAAGCACTCCGGTTAATCTCTTGGTAAATGCATGACTGCCAGTGGAAGCGTAGTCGTCTAGATCAGCCAGAGACTTGAAGTACGGCGCTTCTCCTGACGCGACTTCGGAATGACTTGAGCGGCGCAAAGGCATACTCCGCGCTGCTGATTGTTTTTCCAATCTTCAAGATGCTATACCTGAGCTGCAAGGGTGGTTACGTTCGCGAATAAGGATCTCGAACCTAGAGCAGAGTGCGGAGTAGTCCACAGCATTACATAATGTCCGTAATCACGTGACTTTATCGCGCTTCACTCTGCTTCTGATCACTGGTGCCACCGCCACTGCCACACTCTGTCGCGTTGTGATACTGCCAGTTACACCGTCGAATCCTTCCCTCGTTAAGACCCTAAATCCATTCCTAGCTCCATTCTCTGTTTCTATATATAAGTCGTCGTATCTGTGATGAATTTGCGAAACCTCCCTGCCCACGAAATTCCCGGCGTAATAGCGGAGTTGGTCGATACTCTGGAATCCAAAAAAAAGGAACTTCAGGTCAGTTGTATATCCCTCGGTGCTTGTATCGAAGCTCAGTCGATGATTTTAATTGCTTTGGATAGGCCGAGAATACACGCCTCCAAGCACAGCTCCGTGCGGTGGCATCGGGAACTGACCAGGCAAGCTGAAGTGTCTAGTTATCCCCTTTTAATCTAACAGATGGCTTTTAATGTTAGGTAGAGAATGAGTTGAACCAGTCTAGTCCCACCGTGAGTGGTATCACTTCTCAGTCTGGTCTCCCAGTCCCTTATAAGGAGCTTTATACTGTATATTGATTCGGTCACAGATGGAGGTTGTCTTGGACAGAAGTGTAGCAAACGAGGTAAACTCTGAAGTCCATTTATGGCGCACCCGCTACGAGGAAGCTTCAAATCAGCTGCGACTCGTGACCGAGGAGATGGAGTCTGTTAGGGTGAGCATATGTTCGTCACGACCTCCTGAAGGCGGGTGACCACAGTATCGCAGGCCATGGGGGATGAGGAAACCCTTCAACTCAATGCACCGAATGCTATCGTCCGAAATATGCAGCGCGATATGCGCGTCAGTACAGCCTTCTCTTGTCAGTCTAAGTATCATAATAACTTATCTAGGGCGCTACAGGAGCTAGAAAGAAGCTTGACCAAAAGTCAGGAGGGGATGGAGGAGCTAAGAGTAAGCAGACGTCGTCCTTGGCTCATATCAATGACGTGCCACATACTCCGTATAATTGAACCGCGTCTCGTCTTTGTTAGGCATCCCATAACTCGACCTCAGCTGAGTTAGAGACCCTGCGTGCCGTAGCCAGGGCGGACCACGAACCTGCCGCCGTGAGATTGCTGTCCATATCCCTACTGTTTCTTCCCAGCGCCTCGCGGAATCGTCGGAAGGAGCTCATGAGAAGGCTAGGCTTGCAAACAGAGTAATCAGTTTCTTGGAGGAAAAGGTAATAGACATGGAAAGGAACCTGGCGAGCGAACAGGAGGAACACTCCAGGACACAGCAGGATCTCTCTCAGTGTCTGGTAAGGCGTCCTCTCCATTGTATCATGGATAGCCAGGTAACCATGGTACCGGATTCGAGTAGGAGGAGCGAGACAGCTTGCAATCAAAGTTGCAAACCACTCAGGATACAATCCAAGCGCGGGACACTGCCGTTGCGGTTTGTGGAAGAACAATTTGCTATGAGGCTATACCTGTAACCCTGACTTTCTCGTAGGAACTGAAAGCCGAGGCGGAGAAAGCTCAAGGGCAACTAGCAACTGCACAGACGGAGACTGTCAGGGTCTTAGAAAAGTATGATAGCACGCTAGCACGCTCAAAAACTTACACAACTCCCAGGTAGGGTTTCCTTTGCACTTATCCGAGAACGGAGTGTTGAGCATCTGACAATATGCCAGTGTGCCGAGAAGGATTTGAAGAGGAAGCTGAATGAAGCCAAGGCAAAAAATGAACTGTGCGAGGAAACTGTCAAGGTTGGCTGTTCATAAGATGGTACTGTACGAGCGATACTAATGACCGCTCAGGGTCTGAGAGTTGACTTGGATGAGAAACGAGGGGAGAGCGTTGCTTTCGTAGTCCAAATATCGGTACGCCCAAAATAATTAGTCCAATCTTGCTGTGAGCAAGTCTAACTGACCCCTTCATAGTCTATCCTCTGCGACAAGAAGGAGGAGTTGAGGAGGCTAAAGGTGTGTTGATGTACAGGGATAAGAAGTGAAGGGGCTCCCCTGAGGCATCGCTTGCAGCTTGAAAGGAACCGGGACAAGGAAGAAGCAGAGGGATTGAAGAAGGTAAATAAATCATAGCTTGTGCGCTGGTGTCTATCTCAGCGAATCCTCCAGGAACTGCTGGTTTATCTGACAGCTGCTTTGCCTACATTGAGACAAGTCGCGGGATGCTACCCGGCATGGAACGAAGTTCGTGTGAGTCTAACTATGACCTTCACGGTGTTGAAGCCGCCACTTACTTTTTGCTTCTTGTCAGATCGATACTCAACAAATTGATGAGTGGGAACTGCGACGCGGCGCACTGTCACAAGAATTGGCAAGCCAACCTTCTGCTGCTTGAAAGGGGCTGTGAGCTTCATGCTAACTGTGACGACGCTTACGACGCTAGGTACTGGTTGGTACTGCCAGCCATTTACCATATATGATATGAACGAGTATTGCTTTAGCTGGCCCCCCACGTATCTGTTGTATTCTCGCACGTTTTTATGTATAACAGCCACTCGGATAGACTTGTTACAGCGTCTCCTCAGTAGCTAGTTGAGAGGCTTGCCATAGGGCCCTCTGAGGTTCACGGCGGTCGGTGGATGCCAGTGCTCCCGTGATTAAAGCCACAGTCACGTGAAGTGACCCTCGAGTCACTACCGCGTCGGAAGCGCGTTCCATGATTCATTACACAAGTCATAGCTATTGATTGAACACGGTTGAGACGTCCAGCCCAAATCCACCTTTCTATTTTGCTACGACATGCCTGTTGCACGGACTCCCTCTGCTCGTGTGGGCGATAGCCAGGTATTCAGAGCACCCCTCGCGTGTGTGGCAGGCGTCGCTAGCACTGGTTCGTCGTAACTAACGCATTGTACACAACTTTCTTTCTCATACAAATCTTTATAATGGATAAAGCTACTTATCTCTATCCGACGACGAGCTCTGACAGGAAAAAATACAGGACCCCTTCGGGAAAGGTATCATCAGCGCTTCATCTTTCGCCTGCTATGGTCTCTCGCTGAAAATGGCTCACTAGAAAGTCACCAGTCACCAATGGGCTGTGTATGACTACATTCTACAAATTCCCGAGGGAAAAGTCACCACCTACAAGCAAATATGCCTAGCCATCGGACAAGGAAGCCCGCGAACAGGTATGGTTGGCTCATTATTGCTGCCAATTGCGGCTAATTAGTGCAATGATGTTGTTACGCAGTTGGTAGCGCCTTGAGAAACAATCCATTTGCACCATATGTACCCTGTCATCGGGTCATTGCGTCGTCTCTATTCATAGGCGGCTTCTTCGGAGAATGGGGTACCATCCGCAGGATCAACCAGCCGGCGGGCCGCCCCGTGGTTCTCGACAAGTCAGAGTTCCAGTGTGAGCGGAAGCTCGAGCTGCTCAGGAAAGAAGGAGTTTGCTTCACTTCTGATGGCTATCTTGAAGATAAACTTGGATCCCTCTGGAAATAGCACCACGCGCCCGTCAATGGTACGTGAATGCATGTTCCGTGCCTGACAAGTGGAGTAGTCGGTGCCGAGTGAAAACGTCTGTACTCCTGTTGCTTTCTACGAGGACTTAATATTCCATGGGCCGGGTATCACTCGTGACGGAGTCCTTGTCGGTCCCGAGAAAATCTTGACATCCGGCAGTCCCAGCAATGGCCCGCGCTATTGCCGATCGTGTTCTAGCATTAAGTATCTTACACAGACATACCTGATGCATGCAGTCTCTGTGTCATCGGGATCTGAAGGCAGAACTGATTGCTTCACCTTAGAAGTCCCCTGAGCTGATGTGGCATTGTGTCCGACAATGCGTACTGAGGTACTCCCTGGCCCCGCAACTGTACCAGACCAGTTACCAGCCACTTGGATGACTTCCGCGCAACTCGGGACCGAACGTAAACTTGAGATTGCACGCTTCGGATGGGTTATCTAGGTTAGTTCGTCCATACAAAAGCACCCCGAAGCGCGTGGCCATCGTAAACACATATTTTTAGCTCTTGCGCCTTACTATGTCCCTAGTCTTGTACGTGTCTCTCTTTAGCCTGACGCAGAATGGCCAGTATTCAAATATGGATAAACATACGCCGCCAGAAAGAGCTACTCGTACACCAAGTAATCAAGCTACAGACATAACAAATACCATATATTTATCCAGCACTCAGGGCCTCATCTAAGGAAATGTTCTACCTTCGGAGCCAGAAACACGGTCTTCCGATGGCTCAAGCGTAACCAAACGACTCGACGTGCAAAGTGATACTCGGAGCCCCGCGAATGACGCTGTTTGACCCAGCAAGGGGGTTGATGAGGAGAGAAGAGCGAACCGCTCGAGCAATGCCCTCGGACCCACAGACTAGAATCAATTATAGTCAGCCTCAAGCACCATGTGACCCGCGAGCAAACAGTACGCACCGCAGACAGTCATGCGACCCGTAGCGGTGTCGAGTTCTTCCTTCATGAGGGCACCGATATTCGGCCTTCCATCCTGAACCGTCACGGCATCTACGTCCAGCAGAGTGGAGATCGTAGACCCGGCCTTCTCCTTCCCAATCGACTCAGAGGACTCTTGGTTGGTGAGAGCGCCTCTCGTACGCCCATTGTGAACAGAGTCGTCATCCCAGGCCTCCGGGGAGTTTGGGAGCGGCTCCTGCGGAGAAGAAGTGAGATGGATGTGAATCGAAATGCTCATAGACGGTGGTGTGGTCGCAAGAGCTTTCGCAATCGCCGCGGATACCCAGCCCAAATGGCCTAAGAGGCAATTTGGTCAGCAAAGGTGCTGCTACGGGATACTGAAATTAAATACTCACTCCTATCGCGAATTGCCCACAGGAATACGACTCTGCGAGCTGTCTTCTTGCTAATAACGGAAAGAAGTAGCGGAAGAGTGTAAGAAATCCCGGTGCCACCTGAAATCAAGCTGGTGAGATCATTATTAAATACGCATATCCTAATGATACTCACCTGCAATTAAGACAATTGTATCGGAGCAGCTCAGATCGGGTGAGACACCATAGGGACCATCCAATAGTACGGTAGCCTTGGCATCGTCCTTTGCAGCGGCATCCGCGAGACGCCGAGTGAAGCCCTCTCGAGCATTGACCATGAAGACGAGTTCCTTGAAGTAGGATTCGCCTTTCTCTTTCGCATTGCCCTCGGCAGCCGCGGGATCATCAATGCTGGCGATGGAGAAGGGATGCGCTTCGATGGGAAAGAGGGAAATGCCAGGCATGATAAGGTAGGCGAGTTGGCCTGGGGACCAGTGGAATGCGGGAGGCCGAGGAATGCGAATGCGGACCATGTGAGGAGAGAGAAGATCGAGTTTGGCATCCATCCCCCCCGGATTCTTCCTGGCTCCAATATATGATACGACCTTAAAGTACACGACGCGGGCGACTCGGATGAAGCGATCCAGGGCCCAGATCAAGAACGATGGCCAGACATATTGGTGGAAGCTGCGAAGTAAATATCAGTAACCAGGGGTTACTAAAAAGACTGTATACGCACTCGAAGTTCCGAGCGTGGAAGTAAGCACCGAGTAATATTATTCTGTGCACCGGAGTTAACGACTACTCTAAGCTGTGGCCAAGTTGTCCCACTTACAAGACTAAAACGAGGTGCGTATAAAAGAAGAACTCATACGCTCTGGCTCGTATGGGTCTCAACGAGATAATGATAAGAACACAGAAAGCGACAACTGCCATGAGGCCCACGCGAAGCCAAGCCGTTGGCCAGTCCTCGGGAGTCACACTAGGTACCAGTTAGTTCATGGGATGACCCCACAGAACAGCGCGGACGTACGTCTTTGTCGCAAACTGGTAAAGGATTAGTGCGTTAGCATGATGCAATTATCTCAGATGCTATCGGGTGATGCATACCTTAGACCCTGCGTGCAGCCACAGCAGGACGAACAACACTCGTGAGCACATCCGATGAAGACTGTTCATCTGTCAGAGGATGTAAGTAGCCGGATTACATCTTTAGGATCACGGCGATTACCTTCTCATAACTTATGCCGGTCAAGACTAGATCGTTCGGTCAACGGGAGCCAGGAAAGGTTACGCTGAATATGCCTCACGGGAGATGGGGTTATTCTTTGTGCCAAGAGCAACAATGAGAGGGAATTGACTGGCGGCGAGGGTTCCAGCACGATTGCTATAGAAGCTCTCGTCGAACTTCTTGTGCTCCAAGTCAGTAGCTAAAGCACAAACTTATGAGCAACGGGCCGAGTCATCAAAATCATGCTGCGTACTGTTGGTCAAGGCCCACCCAAAGATGATGGCGATGTATGTGCATGTAAGGAACACGTCGGCGAGACAAAGCGAGTACGAACTCCCAATCTGCAAGGTGCAGCGGAAGGCAAGGACGCGGTATACATTGACAAGAGCCAGGGGGATCCTCGTCACGTAGACAGCCCCGCGTCTTAGTGTGCTACCTTGGCGCTCAGGATCTGTCTTCCTAGATGACTGCCGCCATTGACGCCATTTAGAGAGCAGGAGGTTGCCGATGTGGCAGAGAGAGACCACTGCGATGAGGCAGACGATGAACCACCAAATTTCTTTGGGGTAGTACTTCGCTCTGCCGACGCGGAGAGTCTTGTCGGTAGGTCCTTTCGACGCAGCTGCAGCCATTTCAGATAGGGGTTGGGTGGACGGACTCCCAGTGAACATCAGGAGAATGAGGGATCGTACTTATACCCATGAAAGTTGTGAACAGAAACGGATGCTGTCACAGGCATTACCCCCGTTACTCAGGCCTGTTCATCAGCAATTGGGACTGGCAATCACTTCCGACCAATTGGATGCATGACCGCCACCGCAGCGCCAAGTCCTAGGGAAGCCCCCATAAAAGCGGTGCGAGGGAAAGATAAGCTCCTACAAGGGATTGCGGCCAGAAGTCTGTCCAACATGGGTCAGCCTATGCGTGTCCGAGGAGTCTAGGTCGCATGGAGGAAATTGAAGACGAGGAGGCGTAATGTTACCGAGGTCTATACATAGCCATAATACCCTCCGTCTGTTGCTAATCAGCAGTAATCATCGAGGTCACACACCGAAGTGGAGTTCGAGATCTGATCTTGACCTCCGAGGCAATGGATCACTTTTGACGCGCACGAAGCGTCGGGCATGTCGCAGTTACCCAATGTGGTAGCCATGAGAAGCGTCGACGATGGACGTCCGGGACTTAGACACGAGTGCGGCGAAGCGACCACAAGGAGGTTTGTATTAAAAGGCCGACATGGGGCACGCAAGCTCTGAATTGAGGTGAGCGGGAGGTTCCAGCTCGAGAGCGTTCGGAAGCCACAGAACTTCCTCCATAGACGCTGATGGGTGAAGCATAAGCCAATAAGCCGGAGTATCTAAACAACGCAGCCATCGCCGTGGAGGCGCTCTCGTCATGTCTCGAGTGTCATGTGCCACTACGTCCATGGATGGAATCCACGGACGTACCGTGCAATGCAAGTACGTCTTTGGATTCAAGGTATCAATCGGAGGGGATAGATAGAAGATCTACGAATCGGAAAACTCCCTTCGTTGGCTGCGACTACCTAGGAACAGAGACGCACCATCGCCTCTCTTGTCCAGCGGATGTACACTTGGGGGAGCGAGGCTAAGTCGGAGATATCTATCACCGACATCTAGCCTGCATTGCACCGCAGCCCAAAGAACAGCATTGTTTTGCGAATGATATTCGCATGGATCTGGACGTTGCACTCTCTGGAGGGTCGTACCGGGATTGGCCGGGCATGTCGGGTACGACTCACTTTACGTAACACTGTCCTTGTTCATGATCAGGGCTTCCCCCACGAATCCTGGGGAGACTGCTCACGGTAGTCCCTAGATACTTGAAGTATTGAGTGCTCTACGCGTCGCTATACTCCACAGTCTTGAAGCCGCCCCAGACTTTGCTTGATTTTTTTCGTTGCAACGGCAGTCCATGTTCGACCGAACGATGCACCCTATCCTGCATGTTCATGTGCGTACCTGTTCGGGGTTGCTTGGTCCACGCTGAGATATGATGCTGAGAAAGATCTTCTGTCCTTCAGCAGCACGAATGTTGTTACAACGGCGCACCTACCATCTTCAATTTACTAGGTTCTCACGGACCTCTCCGAGGGATTGGACTGATCCCACAGACTCCCGTAGGACGTAGCATGCGAGAAAGACTTCTCTTGCTTGACGCATCCTCCGCTCTCAGTGCCAACAAAATCCACGGTACACGAGACTGTGATAGGCTCGTGAATGCCTCTGGGATCATCTCCAGCTCTCTAGGTATCCGGGCCCGAAAGTGGAGCGTTTCTACCGGAGACCTCTGAGTTACCACTGGGACTGCCACTGCCCCATAGTCGCATTCAGGAACACATTGACCTGCCTTTACTCGGTGCCGGCATCCTTGCTTATATGATAGCAACGGTGAAAACGCCTTCCTGTATGCTTGTGAGGGTGTTTGCTGTATTTTGCTGACAGGCAGGGTTCTGATCAACACCGCAACGAAATCAAGGCAGGACACCTCTGATGCGAATAGTACCTTGTCGGGGGATAACTGCTTCAGGCCTCCCCGCATCATAGGATCAAGATTGGTCCCAGTGGAAAACAGCGCTCACAAACGGCTGGACAGACCCTCTCGGGTCTGAATGCGTTCATTCTGACTGTTGTGAGTATCCCATAAAGTCGGGTCTGCGCTGACTGATGCGCCAATTCAATAGTACGGACCTTGGTGGAAGCCAGTCCTGACGACATTCCCATGCGCCCTTCGAAATCTGACAACAAAGCACCGAATATCGGTAGCTCTGTACACCATCATTAGCATGTCGTTTGTCCCACCTCCACAGTCGTCGTCCGCCACGTTGGGTTACGCGAATTTGAATAGAATCGAAATAGACGAGGAGATGCGGGCGGTCCAACTGCCAGCTATCGTCCTATGGCATATGCTATAGCGGAACAAAACGGTCCGCCGCATAATGCGCCCGCGACCACCAGTCAAGGACGCCTTTCGGAGTCCACACTTAATTATTAAATGCGATTGGGATTGCCTTCAGCGCTTCCAATGCATCTAGAATATGTTGTACCCGCGTTCTGTCGTCGGTCGCAATCCCTAGGTCGGCTCCGTACACAGCAGTGACAGAATTCCAGGGTCCGTATGCTTTCGACTTGCACGTTTTCCTTGCTTTTGTTTGTCTAGTGATTCAGTCAACGCCATCGACCCATTTGCATCATATCGCGTATATGCAGACATGGACATCGCCGAGGAGTAGCCGAGCTCCTTCCCACAAACCACGTCCACAGGCATGTCATGATATAACGCGACCGCGCTGCGCTATCTGATAACTGCAAGGACATTCGTAAATGGCGTCGACGGCGAGAACAACCGGGTCAAATAGAGTTGCAGTTTAGGGTTGATGGCTACAGGCGGCAGTAAATATAGAACGACAAGGCGTAACACGGCCCACCAAAACAGACAGAGTTCACCTCTTTCCTCCTTCGCGGACAAGACACCTCCGTGGGCGCATCATCGGTCTCCTGGTACCCACGATAAACCGTGAGTACGCCTCCGAGTAGACCTGCCAAGCACAAAGATTTTGACCGTTCGGGCCATCAAGAGCCCAATGCGTCCCAAGCTCCCTCTTCAACGACTGGTTCTCTCGTGAATTTACGTTGTCTTGCGAGTTTACATCCCTGGTGAGGCAGGACGCGAGCCAGCAGGCTGCACAAACTCCCGTACCTCGTTCTTCTCCTCGTCGCCGTCTCGCACGACACCATTTACAATTTCACCGTTGCCCTTCTCTCCAATCATCCCCGCCAACCCGAGGTCGAGACCTAACCCAGTCGCAGGCCTTTGCCTCTCCCTCCCTCGCACAGCAGCCTCACGTTGTCGATCGGACTCGGGCCCGACAGCTCTCCGTCTTCTCTCGTCACCATCTCCGCCTCGCGTCTGTGTCCTTACGCCTGGCGCCTCCGACCATAATCCGTCGGTGGCCTTTCTTTGGCCGCTAGATCCGTATCTCCTGAACGTACCAACGATCTTCCAAAAGTATAGCAGACCCAGCAGAGTGAGGCATGTGATAAGGACGCGAGGACCAAGCTCATGAATGGGTGAGAGCGCCTTGCGCGTATCAGGATTGGATGAGTCACCCGTCCGCCATACGAACGATAGTATGGATGTCACGAAGGTGATCATTGACCTTCAATACACCGAAATTGGATAAACAAGTTAGATACGACCTCATGAAGGATTGAGGTTAACTTACCAGGTCAGCCAAACAGCGGGCATGGCGAGCATAACCCACACATTCCACCAAATCGAGGTCTTGCTCCGTTGAGCTTCCTGTGAGCCATACATTTGAATAACGGTGACTTAACCTCCTGCGCTTGTTCTCACCTCCGCCCACCTTGACGCACGATACATGCTCCGCATCGTCCCAAAGCGTATGATGAATATGCATCCATAGGATAGGCTCATGAGAGCGCACACGAGAGAAACCAGAGCCGCCGTCCGTGTCAGCGGATCAGCAGCAGCGCTGGGTATCTGAAACATGGTGAGGATAGCTCTTCAGTGCGTAGAATAGGGTGAATCATCAGCAGATGAAGTGACTTGACCGACAAAAGAACCCCGCACTCACGTCAGAAGAAGCGCCGACACGACGTTGAGAGTCTTCCACTCTTTCAACAAGCTCTCGATGAATTCTTCCCATGTGCGTCTGAATTGAATGAGTGCGGGGGAAACGGCGGGAGCGTTCCATTGCTCCGGGTAGGGCGGCAAAATGGGCTCCGCATTCGACCTGGCAGCGCCACCCCCACCCCCGCGCAGGCTCGTGGCACCGTCACCCTGGGCCGCAGCGATTGGAGCACTTTCCCGAAATCCAGACTCTCTGAAGCCGCAAGCCTCTATCATCCTCTGAACGTCCGGCCGACTAAGCTCCGCGTCTTCGAATATGCGAGCAACGCGAGAGAAGTAAAGGCTAGGAAGTCGTAAGAGGAGATAGAGGTAAACGACGCGGGGTAAAGTATCTAGGACGAAGAAATTGAAAGTGGCGAAATACATGCTGATTTTAGAGTTAGGATGAGCAGTGGTTGAACAAGGACAAGGTAAGCAGAAGGCGACAGTATCCTCGCAGTTGCACGCGTATTCAGAGTCGTTGTCAGTAGCATTATTGTGGTGCACAGCATGAGCAAGATGTAACCGAAGCTTGAAAGGATCGACGGGCACGAAAGGCTCTTCCCTCGACTGGCCACGGTGGATGCTTGGCCAAGGCAGGAAACGAAGAGGCGAAGCCGGGCGCGAATGAGAGCGAGAGCGCGACTCCGCACTATCCTTGCGCGGGCGAGAACCAGAGCGGTTAGCCGGCCCAGTCGCTGATGCATTAGGGTCGCCGCCCTGAATCAAGCGAGGCGAAACGGCTGCTCCCAGGTCAAGACGTGGTCCCTAATATACCTACGCAAATACTTACCTTGTCTGAAGCTGCGGAGGGTTGGCAATGAAACGCGGTCGCTCTCGAAAGAGACGCGCTGCTGGCGAGGCGTCTCTCTTCCGGTCGATCCATCAGGACTATATGCGCGTTCTACGTTACCAGATGCGCTTGGTGGCAGCGGCAGAGTGCCTCCTTGGACAGGACGGGGCGAATCACTAAAAGACATAACGGAACTCGAGCCTTCTAGACTCCTCCGCACGCGGCTTGGGCTGCGGAACCGCCCGACAGCGGGCGAGGATCTCACTGGAAGAGCAGAAAGCTTGTCCGAGCTGGTCAGCTGGGATGATGACGTCGCATTAGACACTAAGGCAAGGATTAGCCCATCTTCTATCGTAGAAGGGCGCCGTACGCACTCTGGCCGCTGTTTGACTGATCTAGGTTGGACGGCAGACTTGGAAGCGAGCGGGAATTCGAGATCCGGCGGTCCACAGAGCGCTCATTGTCCACAGCATTCTCAACGTCGTGGTGCTCACTCATGGTTACCCTAATAGCAAGTCCTGGGCTAATCGAGTCCGTTGAATTCTTGTTTGTCGTCGTAGAGTCGTCGCTCGTCGTCGTGCGTCGTGATGGTCGTCAGAGAGAAAGAGCAGGTGGCCGAAGCCATCGCTCTCAGCGCTGATGAGGACGCCATTGTACAGCTCACGATCCTAAATCGAAGCCGGACGTCACGGCAGATATGCTCGGGATTCCGAAAGGGGACAAACGTGGTCACGTGACCAAGAAGGCGGCGCGTACTCACCTTCGCAGCGCCCATACAGCAAGGTGGAGGATTCCAGTCGGAAGAATGGGAACACCGGGCGTAGACACGGAGAGAGTGTAGATGGACGAGGCCTATGAGACAGGAAATACCAGGTCTTCGCCAAGTACAGGAGAAAGTACCGGCCGACAAGTGTATACATTTCGCCAGTCTTCTGCAGTGCCAACGGCGACAGCAACGGCGACGACAATTGGGAGGCACGGACTCAGGAGAATACGCGTCAACCATCGGCAACAGGATGGAGGGGAGATCATTTATCAAGATCACAGCATATAGCCCAGCGACACCATAGGCAGAGAAAGCGCAGTGTACTTGCTCTGGGACATTTTTCGCATCTGCTTTATGGACAACGAGTGAGGAAGAGAAGATACCAACAAGCTTGCAAATACTGAGAGTCTTGATCAGCTCTAGTCAATATCAACTTGGTTATATGCACTGACCTCGGACAATATCGGGCCGTTACATACGCTGAAGAATGAAGCCCCCAAGCCAGGGCAGCATGCAAAGCTAACAGCAAGATCACTTGAGACACAGAGTGTCAGAGAACATTGGAAGAGTGTCCATTGCAGCCCGAATCAACGAAGCTTTGACTACCCCTTGGGTGGCGAGCCTATTCACCGGGGAATGCAGGCCTGTCGAGTCCAATTCAGGAAATGATTCAAATACGTCTTAAGAGCCTGGGCTGTTACACGAACTTCACGTCCCGCGCAAAGGTGGTGTTCCGGACGCGGATCGCCATAAAACCCCGGCGCATGTCGTCCAAAGATATAGAATTTCACCTTCACTGACTGGAACGAGAGTTCAGTCTACGGGTTTAACCCATGTAGCACTCGGAGTCAAGAGAAACCGTCCTCGTCGTTCAGCAGAGATGTTCAGGGTGGACTCACCTACTAGTAGCAGTCACTACGAGAACTGCAACTTAGCTGCTCTCCACCATCTCTCGTCGTAGGAAAGACAAGAAACAGGCGGGTACTCACTCCTCCGGAAAGACTGTGAACACTGAAGACGTCGCCGACGTCCGTAGGAGAGGACGATGATCATGGCGGACGGTTCAAACCTTGGTCCTTTTCGAATTCGTGGTTGTCGACGCGCCTGCCCTACATTGTGCACGTGATCTCGGCGCGTCGTGTTGCATGAGGTGGCAATCGGACGCGTTCAACGCCACTTACCACCACTTACTCTCTTCCCGCTTCCCTCTGCCATCGCAGACCCTCTTCCTGTGTCTTCCCACTACTCTACATTTACGATGATGCTGAAGCCAGCTAATGAGCCACCGACGTCCGCGGCTCATCCAAATCCCTTACGAGAAACGTCCAGCACGCGCACGCCGCTGCAGATGGTGCAGCCGAACGTTACCACATCAACTACGACACCAAGCTCCGGGCCCACTCAAAAGCAGAAAACCGAAGAAAAACTGCGGGAGTACGGGGTGCCGACCGTGAGGTTGGAGCAGGATCGATTGACGGACACGATGGCCGCGGGGTTAGCGATGTCGCTCTTGGGACATGTACTATTCTTGAAGGGCCAGGTTCCGTTGTAAGTACACTCATATGATGCAGTAGCTGTGGCATATCCTGAGCCTATACTCTTTGCTTCGCGATCCAAGCCCAGTGATGCAAATGCTGAAAATGCCCGCGAGTCAGGTATGTAAACATGAACCACAAATATCCCGACACCATATTCAAGCCCCAAACCATAGGCAGACTCTCGCGCGTCAAAGAAACGTCAAGAGCTTTTATCCTCTCTCGACATCCTATCTTGCCATCTTCAAACCACTTTCACTGCCCTATCCCATGCAATAGCCAGCAGGATGGACAGCGCTGACCCTGCTGCTACACCTGGATCAGTTCCGTCACCGCCAACACAGGGCTCGAATTTCCAGCAAGTCTACATGATGATGATTCTCGGACCAAGCGTCAATGCCGCCAAAGCGCGGGTAGTCCTGGTCGTTGACGGACTGGAAGTAAAATTATTGGGGGAGCGTTACGACAAGCCCCTAACTCATGCGACGACGGGTGACATCTCCGAACAACCGACAGATAATCAAAGCGAGTCGGACGACTCGGAAGAGGAACATGATGACAGTGACCTGGAAGATTCCGAAGAGGAGGAGTTCAACGACGAGTCCGTCAGTGACGAGGACGCGCTCGAATCAGACTACGAGACTGCATCAGAATCGGAGGAGACCGGTTCGGCACCAGCGCCGCCGCTCTCGCGCTCTCCCTCCCCCGAAGTCTCCTCACTCTCGCCGCCGGATTCTCCCCGGCCCAGGCTGCCCCTCCGCTTATCCGAGTCCCCCAAAGTTCGTTCCTCGGTACCGACGAGAACCCCCACCCTGTACCGACCGCACCCGCAAGAAAGAAGCTACGCGGAAGAGCAGGAGCAGCTGCGCGCTGCGGAACGCCTGCTCTCCCGGACGTTGGCGAATGCGTGCGCGGAAGATGACGGCATGCAATCAGAATTAGGTGAATTCATATCGTTGACTATGTTACAGACTATTGTGCAATGATGAACTAACCATCGTTAATAGCGCCGACGCAGGCGCATATCCTGCTGCGCGCCCCGAGGCGCTTCGGCCATCCGTCATGGACTCCGAGACAGATGTGGACGTCCTCGCTCGAGGCTATTTTAACTGATTTCCTGGACGAGTCGGGTATCAATCGAAAAGATCCTGAAGTCACAGGTATGGGTAAGCAGAAGGTCCACAAGAGAGGGGTGAAGACCGAGGGCGTCTTCGTCGGGTGCAATTCCCCTACTGGAAGATACCATGATGCACACCCCTCCCAAAATCAGGACGAGGACGACGAGATGATCTGGTGGAGCTGGAACGGCAAGATTGCTGGATTCTCGGATTGGTGAGTAGGACAATGGACATGCAGCATACGAGAGTGGAGTCGGATGGAACAGTCACATACTAAATACAATCATGTTTTGCTATCATACAACGGACGCGTCCTCGATGTATTGCCAATGTATCCCTACCGGTGTATTGTCGGTACCGATCTATCTATCAGGCGGGACTTGTCTCGTCTGTCGGGTGCAAATCTGCAGTAGCTGTACCCATCTCTTAGGGGGGGGGGTTGGCATGAACTCTAGGTGGAGTGTATGCCCCCTCCCCCTAGGTCGTATTTATGGGTATGCTACGAATAGTCCATTGCAACCGGTCCCGACTTCCGATATGGTATCATATAGCTATGTGGATCCGTCTCCCTCCGGACTGCAGCTGTCTCTATTTTCATCGACTTGAACGAGCCTACGTAGCCCGTACGGTGTATATTATATAAGTACGTTCACCATGCAGCCTGACCCACAGGCCTACTAGGTTCAGCAGAATTAATGCAGTTTGAGCGTATCAGCGGTTCATGCATTTACCTTCATTATTAAACTTGCCCTGATTGATGTAAAGCGCTGCAGCCGTACCAACTGGTACGCATTCACGCTTTCTTGCGCTTTTACGAGTCTTTCTTGAAGGTCAAGAATATGGCTGCCCAGTGCCCACCGTGATTGGTCGGCGTGTAAGTTTAACCGCTTTAGGCCAGGAAGGCATGCCACCTGCAACCAGCACCCATGTTGGGTTCAACAACGTGTCAGTGAGTATATTTAACGGCGGTACCGGTCCCGTTGTCCTCCTCAGACTTCCCCGAGATATTCTCTCGAAATATTGGTACTACTAGTAGCGACTCCTCTCACCATGTTCTTCTCTTTCCGCCTCCGCACGTGAGCCCTTCCGGTCTCTCTTGCCGTGGCCTGTGCTCATTATGAATCCAGAGATCAACCTGTGGAGGGGATTCCCTGGCCTGCGAGCCTTGGTAACTCGCTGGACTCGGAGCCTGCGGTCGATCCTTACGCCGTCAATACACCCCGGGGTGATCCAGTAAAGGGTATCATAACTAAGTGCATGCATGCGAAGCTTTCCTCTCCCATCCTGGCCACCTGGCGCTATGCAAACTCGCATAATCTTGTTTGGTTTGCGATTTTTACAGCGCCTCTCCCTCCTTCCCTTACGCCAATAGGTTCAGCTGACATCCCTCGTGCCGGAGACATCTGGATCTGCACCCGACTGGGGGAGGAAGAGGTGTATTGGAAGGATTACAATGGAATATGGCAGCTTTGGGATGATGTATACCCATTTACCCACCACCCATTCATTCAACAAGCGATTCTCTTGGCAGGCAGTGGGAACAACTTAGCCGCACCGCGATGGATGGATGCACGCGGCAATTCGTCCAACGGGAAGTCGACTCTCTCGAGAAACGGGGCTAGGAAGGGTCACGACGTGGCGCGGCACATCTCTTTGAACTTGTTGCGCACTTCGACGGAGATATCTCTAACCCAGCGCCGAGGCGCGCGAACTGGGGCCCACATTAGCCGTCGCGGGGTCAAGCGTGGGCTCTCGGACGTCAACGGTGTTGAGAGAGAGGTTGGCATGAGTCAATCTGGGTTCACCGACTTTACCTATGGTGCAGGACTGGATTCTCCCTCGCCAAGACGTCCTTCCGACAAGCCGCTTGCTCTCCTGGATGAGCTCCCTCTGCCTCCTTTCGGGGAGGCGACTGATGCGGCCACAGGCACTGATGATACTAACCCGATTGCAGTGCTGTATGATTATCGCGCTACGTGTCATTCAAATCACATAGGGTTAGCCTCACACATACTTGTGTGTGCTCATCCCACCGTACTGATCCACCTCCCGTCGCCTCAAGTCGCCTCAATATCGTGAGCGATACACGTCAAGTTAGTACACGTGATTTTCGTTTCTTTCTCCCGAATCATGCTAATGACACATGACGAAAGTCAGAAGCTGCGGTACCGAATGCAGAATCTTCATGCTCCGGTTACCGTACTATCATTGAGGGGGTTCTGCAAAAAGTATCGAATTCGGCCTGTAGCATTCCGCACACTTGACGGATTCTTATCGGATCTTCCGCATATTGTGTGTAACTTAGTGATGAACGTCACCATTATTTTTGTGCATTTTTATGCAGCCTGTGGAATGTAGGAGAGAGATGCCGGTTCATGTAGGGGGTTCTGCAAAAAGGTGTCACATGCGGTCACAGTGGGATCGCGCCGCGAGCGATGTCACGCTTTTGTCACGATATGGGCCCGGGAGATGTGCAAAGTTGCCTCTCTATCTCGACACGCTCGTTATGTTACTCTATCGGGCTGGTGTATTGTACTGTAGACAGTATATTAATGATACCCCAAGCCATTCCGCTGCAGCCCGTTGTGAGCATCACGAGAGATCTAGTGGACACTGTTTCTTTCCCATGGCCTACAGGACCCGTTTTCTCTCCCTCCCTTCAACCACAGCAGATATTCCCATTCTGACTTGGCAGAGGGTCTATTCTAGTGTATATATACCTGCCTGAGCTTACCCAACATTTTTTGGTTGAGTGTGGAATGAGATATAAGGGGGTGAGGGGGTTCTGCAAATTTTGCAGAACCCCCTCAATGATAGTATAGCCTCGGGCAAAGGCCAGTTAGCTTGGGAACGAGCCGAGTGCATAAAGGCCGAGTTGATGGAACAAGGTCCTGCAGCTTATTCCAGCAGTGTACGTTTGGTTCCTTCATTGCCAGTGTGTATTTCGAGACTGACGGTACCGTATCCTCAGGCTTGGATCATATCTGCAGCGTATGAGGTGATACCGTCATTGGACACGAAGCTGTCGTCCCTAAACCATCGAAATCACAGGAATTTAGTAATGGAGTCAAGACCATGAAGGCCCTGAAGAAAGTACAAACTCCGACAGAGTGCGCTTATGTTGGTGTTACGGATGTACGTGTCTCCTACTTGAATGTTCAATGTGACAGCCGTTTGCAGATCGTTAGGCCATCACTTCAGAAAGTCACATATAGTCGGAGTTTGTCGGACATGGTGCCAGGGACGTCCCAGGAATTAAAAGGAGTCCAAATGGTCTGATATTGGGGCCTCGGGGACTTGAATTTCCCTCTCCGACATGGTCCGACTGTAAATGATTTTCAAGAAATGGGCCCATCGAACTGCAAACGGCTGGAAATGGACCTGTACTTGTGCAGGGCATCACATCTCTGACTAACGGCATCCTAAGAGATGAGCGCGCCTTCGCGATAGATGATCCGAACTGGTTGAAGTACTTTAACGACTTAATTACGCACCTAAATCCGATCAAAAAGGAGCATATGCCATTCTTTGTCTGACGCGGTTATTGCAGTGACCATGGAAGTGATGCAGACCAAGGCATGGATGACAGGTGGACCACGGGCCGTCAAGGAAAGTGCGCTGTCCCGCCTTCATAGGATGGGCTGGGAAGATGTACGACCCGCGTTGTCAACGACGATTAGGTCGGTTTTTCGGTGTCCTCTTGATGCGAGATGAACCCGTTCACTAATTCTCTTGAGGTAGAGGCTGGATTATGCGAGGTTTTGTCGAGAGCTGTGTGCGAGGAAATCATGCCCTGGGGCTCGAATTTCTCGGGTGTGCTCTGGAAGTCCTTGAGTGGGGACGGACAGAGTGGGCTGGAGTCCCAGACGATAAGAGGGGTGCTATATTCCACAACGCATTCATCCGTGGTGTCCGATGCATGCGTCTTAAAGTGCTTGGGGTCGTAAGTCATTTCGGGTCCGCAGACCGACTAACCAATTGACCAAGATTATGCCGGAAGGACTATCGGGCAGGCCTGAGCGATAGGTCAAGGGACGATTCACTGGGTAAATTAAGAGAGATACTGGCGGAATCAGACGCCATCCTTGACGATGGCGAGGTACAATCCCTGCAGGCTAACGTCGTATATGAGCCAGGGTCCATATTGTCCTTCATTATTTACCCTCGCGGCCGTGCATTGGCGTACGTGACCCGTAACTGCAGAGTGTACAGACTCACAGGGGTCTATAGGATGAAAGGGTTCTACTACAAACAGATGGTCTTGTCCAAGACGTTGCGAACTGCACAAGAGGTCGAGGATCACTTTCGCAATGCTGCGAAGTACTATCTCCAGGCAGCTGAGACGTTTTCAGAAGATGATGAACAGCATACTTGTGCGTTGTACCCAGGAACTCACCGTGGTGGCCTTCAGATAACGTTATTAATCGTACATGCGTAGGGTATTTGTACGCCGCGCTGGAAAACCTTTTCAAAGCTGGAACGCCCATTAAAGCCACCCTTCCTATCATGAAACGTATCGGCCTTTCGATGGATAAGATGAAGCGAATATGGGAGTATTCCGCCATGGCAATGGGATGCCGCGACAAGACCCTAGAGAGGGCTATTCGGATGCAACGGGACGTCGTGAAAGGTATGCGCGAGGGCAGATACACGATGGAGGACAAGGTCATGCCGCATCCTCCATGGGACTATAATATTGCAGCCGATCCATGAGAACACTGTAGACCGCGATTCGCATAGGGACCGGCACGCTTAACACCAAAAGCCCTATCGTACATGTACATGTTTTAAGATGACATAGCTATGGTTCCTAACTCCATGGATAAGTAGCGACATACATATCGTACACTCCCCCCTGCGGCAAGGGTGGTCAGAAACCGATTCGTCCATTTCCAACCTGATGTCCTGTTACATAGCGTGGCCCACACCGTTACCATTCGGGAGCCTGCTCCCGAGCGTCTGCCGGAGTAATAATTCAACCCTCTCCCGTTCGTCAGTCAAACGCCTCATCTCTTCCCGCCACCTAGCCTCCCTCTGCTCATAAATATTCCCCAGGGCGCCGAGGCTACCCAAGGCGGCCTCAAGGGCACGCTTCAGATCTTCTTCCCGGGAGCTGGAGCTTACGTCGGACCCGTCAGCTGAAGCGCCAGAGTGTAGACTCAGTCGATCAGCGAGAGACACCATCTGGGACCGGGAAGCACGACGTTGCGAGGCGACATGTGTGAAGGAGGTGCGGATTGACGACATAGCTGGGGAGTGTCTCAGAGACGGGTCACGCCTTATCGATCGAGAAGTTAAGGCATGCAGCTTGGTTGAGTGCGGTGGGGACGCCAGAAGCACCAAGGTCGTGTCTGTCTGACGATCGAGAGCTTGGAACTAGCATAGAATATTCAGCTAAACGCTCAGTGCATGAGAGTTCTGAAGACTTACAGCTTGCACCAGGTCGTCCCACCGGGTCTCCCATTTCCTACGTCGCTTCTCAGGGTTGCCGATGTAAGATGGATGGAACTCAAGCTCCAACAAGTCGTCTTCGTCCCCTTCGTCGTCGTCTTCGTCAATCCATTCACCCGTATCGTCTCTTGACACCCCATTGACCCACTGCACTTCGTCAGGGACAAACTGCTCCTCAATCTTTTCTTCCCCAGCCGTCTCCTCACCGGAAGTGGACTCGGGGCTCGTCTCCCTGGGCTGCGTACTCTCGACTCTGGGAGGCGGCTTCCTCTGCTTCGCAGCTGCCGGCTGCGCGCGGAGATTACCAGATCGACCCTGATGCTTTAGCGACTTGCCCCTAGTCACACGAGGCGGTGACAGCTCGACCGGCTCGTGACTAGGGCTGGAGCGTATGCTCATGGAAGCATCCAGTCCACCCCGCATGTGCCGAGTCGTAGGCAAAAACGCCCAAGGATTATACCCAGGACCAGGGAACGGGGTCGATGAGGGGGACAATGTCGAGTCAGACAAGATAGCTGCGTTGTTCATTGCGTAAATTTGCATCTGCCTAGCCAATTGCTCTTGAATGGCTGCGGGGTGGTTCGGGTCATAAGTAGACGATTGCTGTGAAGCGTTGTATCCCCCAGCACGACGGATGTGAGTGAAAGGGTACGGATAGGGAGAGCCTACTGGCGGTGCAGGACTGGGACCCACGGAGTGCATGCCAGATATCAGAGGAGAAGGCGAGGGAGCTGCAGTCGCGCTATGCGGTGTTGGAGGAACCGGCGCATTCGGACGAGGAGACTGGAGGTAGGCCTGGAGGTACGCCGACTCGTCGAAGAAATGCTGTATCTCAGACCCGTAGGCAGGCGGCCGAGCTTGTCTAGCAGCCTGCTCCTGATGAGTCGGCAGCGGCTGTGGGGCGGGTGGTTGCTCCTTCAGAGTCTCGAAGGTCTGCTCCAACCCTCTCAACCCAAGCTGATCTGTGATACCGTTACGGGTCTTAGCACGGATAGTCTGCTGAAAGTCCATATTTGACGTATAATGCATGTCACCGCCGTACTGGTTCGGCAGATCGGCGGTGGGCGAACGAGGGGTATAACCCTCAGACTCGGAGGGGACGGAATTATCTTTATGTTGGGCGTGGTCATCTTCATCATGTTCGTTCAGCGTTATATCGTCATCATCTCTATGCTCCGCTCGACTAGCACGCCCATCTTCATGACGCTCCTCGCGCGGAGTATACCTAATGTCATTGCCTTCTGGATGTAGGTCAGAAGAGGGCGTGGGAGACGGGCGGCGTCTGTCGCGAGCACCTTTGGAGGCGCCAACGTTTACGTCGTCCTCAACCTCTTCCTGGACAGGCAGTGACCTATCAGGTGTCCGCGCTTTCGCAGCCTGAACCGGCGGGGTCTGCGCAGCCAACTTGGATATCGCAGGTGGCGTCCCCCGCAGGCTTCCAGACTCGGGCGCAGTTGCGTTGGATGACCTGCGCGCAGCGGGGGGAGTCGGGACCCGGGCATGCGCCTGGGTAGGAGCAGGGTAATATTCTCGCTCGTAGCTTGCATACGTGGCAGTGTGTTCGCCCGGGGACGCCATAGGCGTGGAATAGTGGTCACCGCTGTCCGGGGACCGGTTCCTACCCCTCGGTTGGCTGTTCGGCGAAGTAGACATGGGCGCAGCCGCCCGCTCCCTGCCAGTTGGACTGTCCCTCGGGCCCTGCACATCTCTGGCACCGTCCCGCTCCCGATTTTTCAAGGTGTGCCTGCGTCCGATAGATCCCTGAGACCCGTCTGAGTCCTTCGGGCTCGCGCGTTCAGACGACCTCACCCTATCCAAAGTCAGATCTTTGGGCGGCGACCCGACTTCGGCGTTATGGGAGTACGAGATGGCACCGCCGGCATAGGCCACTCCGAAGGTACCCGCTGCCTGGGTCTGTTGGAGATCAGCTCGCTCAATTTCAGCCATCAGCTCGTCCGTCATTTGCCAGTTACTTTCTAACTGCTGGAAATTGGACAGGAACGGTGGGGGTGGCACACGATTGATAGGTCGGGGGTAGCCGATGATGGGATTTTGAGTGTACTGAGTGATATCAGGCTGACTGAGCGAGTGCTGAGGGGGAGGGGGAGGGGCGGGTAGGGGAATGCCTTGTCGGATATCAGGTTGACTGTGGGTGTGGACGGGTAGCGGGCGTTCCTGCGCCAGATCCCGGGCAGCTGGAATGGGGATAACATTGGTGGGTGAAATTCGAGAGTTCGGGGGCGGGGATCGCTTCGACTGATGAGATGAATTCGATGTAGTCGGGCTAGGTTGCTGCTGGTGCGAGTACGCCAGAGGGACTGATTGGCCTTTGATTGCTCTGGACCGCTCACGGAAAGAAGGGGAGGGCGAGGCTTCTCTGGGTGACGCATTCATGTTCTGCATGACACCTTGGAAGATAAGGATGGTCAGTATACCACTTCGTTCGAACACTCGTGAAGCGCGCACGAGCGACAGCAGCTGAGGGTCACGCCTCGCGACAAAGGTGAAAATGCGAACGTAAGAACGCAATGGAAAGGATAACGAGCTTCCGAACAACAGATTGGGATTAGAGTGAGACAGAACCCAGTGTTCAGACGTAATAAGAGGATTTCTTCCAGTCAGACAGTCTCAACTAGGCACGCCCCCTCCCCGGACGAGATCTTACAAAGATGGTTTAGCTCGGATAGCTTACCTGGAGGACCCTGATAGCTCTGAGCTTTCCTGTTGCGCTGTGCTGCGTCCGCTGACATTATCGCGAGGGATGAGATAGAAATCCACTGCTTAGCTGGTGGTACAGATGAGACGAGTCAGAACGAAGGAGCACGCGCCGCAAAGACGTATAAACGATCGCATATAGCTGACGCAAGGTTCTTTGTACTCGCGTTTCCAACGTGGCCCAACAACAGGCGGGCGGACAACGGCACCAAGATGAAGACGCCTGGTGCAAACGAGGTCGGCGACCGCGTTAGGAAGGTTGCCTCGAGGCCAGCAGGCGTGCAGACGCTCCGGTCCGGCGTCTATCATGTTTCTGCTGATAGAACTGAGTTTCGTGTCCGCTAGCGGCCAAGTAGGTAACAAAACGTGTCGGACAGCTTTCTTTCGACGTAAAATGACGGCGACCTTGACTTCCTGCAAGCAAAAACAACGATGACAACGAGGAGGACAATCACGGCGTCGCAAAAGGCAATCCTCCAATACCATACTCGGTAATGTGGCGGTGGCTCGCGGTGGCGTCGGGCAGGCCTTGGGAAGGGAAATTAACTGTGGCGTTCAACGATAGAACAGCCTCTCCATTGCTATCGAATTCTTTTACCATGATGCACAGGACGTGGTCAGCTAAATGTCCTCACGTATTCTGGGCCTCGCCGCGTGGGTCGCACGACCGTCGAACCGATGATCCTGCCACATAAAGCTAGAAATGCTGTTTAGTCAGGATGTCTCCGAGGCTCAATCCTCACCGAAGGTTGACTATCATAGGACGAGTCCGCGCTTATGACCGAGATATACAAATAGGTACCGCAGCACAAAGTCCGCGAGGCTGTAATCACTGCCCAGTATGGCTGATAGATGCTTCTGCACAACGTCAGAAGTGCTCGCACGAGGCGATGGCCCTGTCAATCCCATTCAGTATCAATATCAGCGATATGCAGGAAGGCATCCTGGGGGGGGACCGCGCACATTTTAATACGGCAGATATGGACAGTACCTGCGAGCTATGTACGGCTTCATCATATAAAAATATGAGATGCATAGGAATACTAGTACTCGAGCAGCGGTGCACTTTTATTGGGCCTTACAGACGATGGCAGGAAGAAAGGATGAGGACCGCAGTGAGCACGAACTGCGCATTTCTGTTCTCTTATATCAGGACCAGGAGTGACCAAGCGGCAGCAAATACAATGACAGTGACAAGTGCGGAAGTTATAAGGAAGGGCAGCGGATCCTTGATGACATGGGCACCCGAATATCCAAGGGATTTAGATTCAACAAAATGATCCCAGGTGTTGTTCCCTGAGGCTCAACCGAGGCTTGAGGTTCGAGAAGGGGGGAGTGGAATGATGAAAGAGCATCATAAAGGTAGACAGCATTAGAGATATCGACAGCAATAGCAACTTAGATCAGAACATAGCATCAAAGCGGACGAAAGGTGTAGTGTGTTAGAGAAGACGGCCGACAATATAGAGAAGACTTGTCGCTCAGCGCAATGTGGATGCGGAGCTAAGTTAGATCTCGGTTTTGATTTTCATGGACTGAGGCCGGCTCCGTGTGCCGGTAGGGACATAACGCAGTTCTCGCGTCGGACGGAACACTTCTTGCACTTCGTCCGAGTCATTCCCTGGCTCACTTTCAGATTCACCTGCCTCACCCTCGCTTTCGGGAGCGAGCGAGCGCTCCTTAGAGTCTTCACGACGCCGTTTCTGGCCAGTCTTGGCCTTCCTGGGAGAGCGTGCCGCCCGGGGACGTCCAATTTGCGCAGGTTTTCTCTTTGGCGGCGGTGCTATCCACGTCGCCGACTCCCGAGCTATGTACTCCTGGAAGCCTTCAGCATACCCGACGCATTTCATGCACCACACCTCGATACGCTGCAAACACAATGAGTCGAGTCGACTATCCCAGATAAGGACTATCACTTACCTCCCTGCCCTCATCGAGTGCTTGCGTGATCTCTTCCACAGACACGTCTATGCGGTGATGCTTGTCCGACTCGCGGCTCAAAACTTCCTCCACTTCCTCGTCAGTGGGTTCCTTCCCATCGGCTTGCCTGCGAAGGAATATCCGCGCGCGTGCGCGGTGACCCCATTTTTTTACGTGGCACTTCTCTGACCACTTCCTTTTCACCTGAGCCGGCCCGAGCGCGATAGTCAGAATAGTCATAGTCGTAATCAAGGTAGGTGTATTCAGACTCACCGCTCTGCTCTGCCCATTCCACTCGTCTATGGTAAGGGGATCGGCAGGGACAAACTTGTAATGCCCCACATACAGCCATTTGTTCCTGTCGAGCCGCACGAACACCCTCTTTACCTCGTTCATGTTCCCGCTTATCGACTCCAAAGCGAAGAAGAAGCCGGGGTCGCCAGGTGACTTTGGTGCATAAGGGTTGAGTTCCAGGTTGAGGTACATGAAGTCCTTGAGTCCGTGGATGGCGACCCGGGAGCGCTTGATCTTCGGGCATGTGTCTTGGGTATTGCCGCCGTAATACTCGGACATGAATGCTCGTGATACTGGGACATTGCGGATGCGTTCGTCGAGTGAGACGTCCCAGACGGCGTAGTTGATGAGTGCAAGCCGGGCTCTGATGGAGTCGCGAGATAGCCGAGGGGCATCTTCCTCGATCTTTATTTTCTTCTCGTCCTGAGGGAAGTTAGTACATCCTTGATAAGTCAACCGTGAATATATTCATACTGGGATGAGATTAGCAAGGAGACTATCTATTTCTTGTTCAGTCTTGATTGTCTTCCACTCTTCTGGTTCAACCTTGATACGAACTACGAAGCGGAATGTTCACCGGCGTCAGTGGTAGCACCCTCCCAGGATGGGAGTCGAATGTACCATCTCCCTGCGCATCTCGCGGAATTATCCCAGCTGTGGGAGCTTTAGAGCGCTTCCGCGATAGTGTCTCTTGCCGGAACCTATCAATACGAGTTGAGTCGAGTACCACTTCCACGATTAATTTGCGTCGTTTATTGGCGACCGCAGATCTATCTTGCGGCTGCTTTCGACATGAGGTTTGGCTATTTACATCAGATGCATATGGGTTCGCGAGAAGCACTTACTGAGTTGCTGCGACTCGGTTTGGTGTCGGACCCATCTGCCGTCGTCTTTGCGATACTTCAGTGTCATGGTCGCTCTTGTGCGGAGGAAGCAAGAAATGAGTACACGTACAAGTTGTGAGTTGTTTGCGTCTGTCTCGGACGATGCGGGCAGCCCGTGCCGCTGTCTCAGAATGGTGTTCTCAGCTTTTACAGTTGATAGTCGAGCTTTCAGTATCTCAAGTTCCGACTCTAACTGAGCCCGGTGGAGAACGGGGTTCTCCTCTGTCAATGTTGCAGACATCGCGAGCTCTAAACCTAGCCAGGGAGCCTGTGCAGCCGAGTCTCTCGATTGCCTCAGTTGTCGACCTCCAAGGTATGGAGGAATGGAGCCGGACGAATGGGAGGTATATCGGCAGAGAAATGATGAGGATGGCCCTCTCAAGGCTTTCTAACTTGGTGTTGCTGGCAAATCCGAATCCGAGTCCACGATCGCGACGCGGTGTGACATTGTGACATCACGCGTCGCCTTCCATCATTGCCACAAATTGGCCACACTCAAGTCTAGGGCACTCATTAGCCCCAGCACCCTTGTAAGTGACGAGGAAGTAACGATTCTATCGACAGATACATAACAGGATATGATAGACTATGATACACCAAGATACAGTCCTCCAGGCCCCAGAGAAAGCGTGACAAGGTGTGAGTGGAATAACTAAGACAACAACATTGCTTCAAATTGCGAGTACAAAACTGATGCGGGGAGGACACATAGGACATAGAACATAGACATAGAGCATGAGGCACCACAGGTCCAATAAGACACAGCGAAAAGACAAAAACAAACATACACCTGGAAATATAACATCAGCTAGGATTCTGCACCTGCTGCCTCGCCTCGGTCAGCTCAGCAGGGGTCATCTTGAGCAGCGCGCCACAGCTCGTAGGGTGGACCTTCTCGCAGTGTGCGCTCAGCACCGCTCCAGAAGCACTGATCGGGAAAGTCGTCACTCGGCTGGAGGGATCCTCCTTGTGGCGCAACCTACGCACCCCTCGTCAGCGGTACCACACAAAAGAATCATGAAAAGTGGGCGAACAAGCAGAAACGACATGTATACTTCGTCTTGCTGGCGTGATAGACAAGGGCGATGTGCTGGATGCCGAGGCGCGAGCGGGCGGGCTTGGGTTCAGGTTGCAGGGTGCTGTCCGGTTCTTCCGCTTTGACCTTGACCGGGGCCACGGGGGCGGGCTTGGGATAAGTCAGCTCGAACTCGCCCACCTTGGGCTGGCGAGCGGAGGCCGGGGACTGGGCTGATGTCCGTCGACTGAGGGACGGAGGGAGGTTCACGGGCGCCGGTGGCGCGACAGGGGCATGCGGAGTGCGGGTGGTAGACGAAGGAACAGCAGAAGGACCAGCAATAGGCGTGGAGGGCGTGGGCGGTGTGCCCGAGACCATGCGGGTTTCGACCTGAGGTATCACAGAGGGCCCGGCACTCGCTACGATGGGACTGTCAGCGGGAGCCGACCTGCGCTCAGCGATGGGAGCCGGCGATTGAATAGCAGGGGGGGAAACGGTCGGTAAGGCCTCGGGAACTTTCGTCGAAGCGGCAGGTCCCGACTCGCCAGCTGGCTGAACTCCGTAGAAATCGCCCTCGAGCTCAGCGGATATCCGTCTCCGTACTGCAGGGCGCGGAGACAAACCGTCCTCCGAGCAATCCCGGGAGCGCTTGCGGGATGGGTCGACGGTATCCTTGGCGTCGGTATTGTCCGGTACCTCTGGCTCAGTGACCATTTCCTCGATCGCGCGTTCTTCGCTCGGTGGACGCATCGGCTCATCCTCGTCCTCGTCCTCGTCCACGTCGTCGAGCAGCGGGATGTCTTCTGGGGTACGGGCTTGCTCTTGCGGAGGGTCGGAGGCAATGTGCTCTGTACCTTCGGGATCCGGAGCATCTTCGGTCCCCGCTTCAACAGCGGGGGGCTTGGCCCCCTCTCCTTCTTTCTCTGAGAACTGCGCAGCCTCCCCATGCTGATGTCTGGCTAAATTCGAAATCATGTGGGGAACAACAGGAGGAACAGGAGGTGACGGGAGATCAGCGTGTGGTTGCTGCAGAGACGGCGAGCCGGGCAGCCCGGTGAGGTCAATTATTTCCTGCCCGCCCTCGTAGGTGGAGGTGAGCTGCATTGGGGCGGAGTCGACGGGCTCTTGTTTGATCGCGATTGCGGAGGTGGATGCTGAGATTGAGCTTGGTTCTGCGGGGGCGGGAATGGGAGTGGCAGGTGATGTAGGTGTATGGGGATGAGCGGTGCTCGAGGGCGGTTGGGACGAGACGGGGAGGTGGGTTGGGGTGGGTTGAGGTGCGGGCTGCGAGGACGTGGCATCGGGTGCTGACTGTGAAGAGGTGGTATTTGGTGCTGATTGTGGGGCCAGTTGCGGGGATGTAGAGGAAACAGTTCTAGACAAGGACGGGGAGACGTTTCTCTGAGTAGACTCGGCATGGGGAGCGGGCTGGTCCGGAGGGGGCGTCAGCGCTGCGGTCGTTTGCTTGGCAGTGGTGTCGATCGCCGAGTCGGGAGGAGTGGGAGGTGCTTTGTTAGTGGCATCCTGTGAGCGAGTTTGAGCGGGTTCGACTGCGACCAGAAGGGAGTCCTCGCTACTGCTGCTCACCTGGCTACGATTCTGGGGCGCTTCTGTGTTCACGGTTCTCCGTCCTCGGAGGCTTGCAGCCAGCACTGCGAAGACATCACTTAACACAATGCCACAGACGAAGAAGGCAGGATCAACGTACTCGTAGCTACCTTGATCTCCACGTCGCGGTTCAACTCGCGCTTGATCGCGTCCACAAACTCCGGGGGGTAGTGGGCCAAGTTGACGGGCAGAGCACCGGGCTGGTGTTCAGGAAACGCACTCGGCGATAGTACAGGCAGCGGGCGCTCCGCCTCCGCATGTTTCAACTTCTGCAGCTCATGCACCGCCTGCTGGTACATATGCTGCAGCGACCTATTCCCGCCCACCACCCTCTGCACCTCCTCCCTCGCCTCCTTGAGCTCTGCAGCCATCTTGTGCCGCTCCTCCCTCTCCCGCTCCAGCTCCGCGGCAAGCCGCTTATTGTCGTCGAGCACCTTGGTGAGCACGCGGCAGGCCTTAGCGGTGTTCTCGACCTCAGTATAGAACTGGACGTGGGCATTTCGGAGTTGGGACTCGACGTTGTTGAAGAGGTTGCGCCACAGCTCTTCGAACTGGACTTGGGTGGGCTGCAGCGTCTTGGCGACGTGGTGCCGGATCTGGTCGACCATGTCTGGCGGGAAAGGCGGTTGGATTTGGGGTTGGGGTAGGGGTTGGGCGGGCGAGGGGGCGGAACCATGTTGCAGTTGAGTAGTGCTCGGTTGAGGGAGCGAAATCGCCGAGTACCTGGCATAGTTGACGGGTTGTGGTGGAGGCCGAGGCTGCAGGGATGCAGGAACCTGTTGAAGATTGACCGCTTGGCTACTGTGTCCATACGATAGAGATTGGACGGCGGGCGACTGGATGGCAGGCGACTGGGGCTGCGATCGAGGCTTTATTACGGCCAGGGGCGCTTGGGGCAGCACCGAGCGCGCATTCTGGGTTTGTGGTGGCTGTCCAAGCCAGGCAGATATCCCTCCACTGTTCGGCCTCCTTGGTGGATGAACAGCACTTGCTGAAGGAATTTGGCTGGCAGACGGCGGTCGGTTAACGTTAATGTTCGAATGTCCCGCACCTTGGCTTTGTGCTTGACTATGTACCGCCTGAGCAAGGTGATGCTGGTTGCCTTGAGACTGCAGACTCTGGTTAACGTTTGAACTTGCTTGCCCCGGATAGTTCTGGTTAGGCCGAGGGATGCTTTGCTGCTGCTGCAGTACGGAGAGATGGTCCGACATGAGCCTAATCCCTGAGATATACTTTCATAAAATAGAAAGAGATTCTCTGGTTAAAAACAGATCTTGCACCCTCCACAAGAGTGAAGGCCGGTTTTATGAGCGCTATGCCACCCTTCAGCGTCTATGGGAGAAAGCAGGAGGGAAGGCCAGGGCGGGCGGCTGCAAACCTCGAGGCAATCGAGAAACGATCGAACGTTTGTGACATGTGACGGCACGCGTTTCGGCTATAGCCTGCGTGACAGTCGTGACCTTTGGCTGAAGTACGCGCCGCCACCTCCCCAGTCTCGCCTCATATTCTTGTCAGTTTTGGTGGCTTTGCGAAGTGGATATGTCGAGCGCAAAGTCGAAACAGCAGGCGAAAACGCCAGGGAAGGATATCAGATCTTTCTTCGGTGCTGCCAGCGGTAGCAAGAGCTCGCAGAGCACCCTGGGCGCGACGTCGCAGGTGAGAGACTTGTGGCTGAATTCTGAGATGTGTTTCGAAGTGTTCAATAGGGGAAAGCGAGGAGCAGTGCGATAGAGATTCTCAGTAGGTGTACAGTGTGTCTTGGACTGAAGAGAGCGTGGGTTGACTAAGGCTGCGCAGGCGACGATGATAGGTATGTGATGGTTCACGTATTTCAGAACGGCTTTAACAAGTATGCAGCCCGACACCCGTGAAGGCGGAGAAACCGTGAGTGCGCTGTCTATTTGCTGTACTTCTTCATGACGAGCGGCCCTCAGCTCCCCGAAGAAACCCAACCCCAAAGCCGACCCGAAAACACCCGCCCCCGCCAAATCCAAACCAGCGCCGAAGCGCAGGTCCGGCGCCCTCGTTCTCTCCAGCGACGAAGACGATGAGCCTGCGAAGCCTATGCCTCAGAACAAACGCAAGAAGCCCGCCGTCCTCCTGTCGAGCGAGGAGGAGTCGGAGGAGGAGAAGGCATCACCGCCCAAGAAGAAGGCGGCTACCACTGCCGCGTCTTCGTCTAAGCTAAAGCCCACAACCAGCCCCGCAAAGCCGAAGCCAGCCCCGAGGAAGTCTGGCGGGAAAGCGGCGAAGAAGGTCAAAAAGGATGAAGACTACGATATGTCCGACGCGTCAGGACAAGATGACGATGACGATAACTTCATAGTCGACGACGACGAAGACGATCTGGTGCCGAAGAAAGGGAAGAATAAGGCAGCGCCCAAGAAGGCAGGAGGCAGCACTTCGAAACCCAGGGCAAGCGAGACCAAGGCCACTCCAAAAGCCACAGCGCAGGAGACACTCTCGCACAACGACGAGGAAAAACCCAAACCAAAGTTCAAGTGCGTCTATGCTATCCTAACAGCCGGATGATCAGTTCATAATGTGAGGAACAGCTGGGCGGCGGCCAAGGCGGCGAAGATGGCGGGCCCGAGGGCGCCGGGGTCGAAAGCGGTGCCGGAGCCGCAGTGCGCGGAGCCGCTTGCCGGGCTCGCGTTCGTCTTCTCGGGCGAGCTGAGCAGCTTCTCGCGTGACGAGGCCGTCGACCTCGCGAAGCGTTTCGGCGGGTACGCAATCCCCCTCCCCAACCCCTCCTCGAATAACATCTAACACTGATTTTCCAGTCGCGTGACAGGCCAGCCCTCGTCCAGAACCTCGTACGTAGTCCTGGGCGATGACGCGGGCCCGAGCAAGCTCGCCGCGATCAAGAAGCACAACCTGCGCACGCTCTCGGAGGACGAGTTCCTGCAGCTGATCGCCACGCGCAATCCCGGCGGGGGCGAGCTGGACGAGAAGACGCGCAAGAAGAAGGAGAAGGAGCAGGACGCAATCCGCGAGGGCGCGCGCGAGATGGAGAAGCGCGAGAAGGCGGCGATGAAGGAGGCGAAGGCGGGCAGTGTTGGGAGGTGAGTTTCAATGTGAGTTATAGGGGACGAGTGCGAATGATAGGTTTGTAGCGCGAAGGCGGTAGATACGTCTACGCAGCTGTGGACGGTGCGGTACGCCCCGCAGACGCTGAAGGAGATATGCGGGAACAAGGGCCAAGTCGAGAAGCTCCTCCTTTGGCTGCAGGACTGGTGAGAATATTCTCTCGTCACTCCGACTACTCATGACCTTATGCTGGTGCATCGAGGCCGAAGAGCCTGAAGAGCGGATTCAGCAAGCCTGGCAAGAACGGCATGAACATCTTCCGGGCGGTGATGATTACGGGACCGCCCGGGATTGGGAAGACGACGAGCGCACATCTATGCGCAAAGCTGGCGGGATTCACGCCCATTGAGCTGAACGCCAGCGACGCACGGAGTAAGAAGCTCGTAGAGGTGCGTTGCTACGATGAGTGCCTCACAGAGTCCATCTCAACGTAGATGTCGGCGTACGTAGAATAGTACGAATATCAACAACACATCGTTGGACGGGTGGATGGGCGGCGGTGGCGTACGCACTCCTACTCCTATCAGCTGGTTATTGACTCTCACAAACCCAATCAGAAAACTAATGCTGCCGGCGTCGAGATTTCTGACAAGTCTTGCCTCATCATGGATGAAGTCGATGGTATGTCCGCTGGCGACCGTGGCGGAGTGGGTGCATTGAATCAGCTCATTAAGAAGACGAAGGTATACATATTCTTGCGATTCGGGCCTGGATAAAAATCCTGACGTCTTCATCTGGAGATCCCGATCATCTGTATCGCGAATGATAGACAAGCGCAGAAGCTCAAGCCGCTCATTGCTACGACCTATAGCTTACCGTTCAAAAAGTAGGACGCGATGCAATGGTAGCTCTAACGCTTTACTGAATCGCTCTTCTGCCAGACCCGATGCTGCGGCTGTCCGATCGCGGATTCTGACTGTGGCTTACAAGTGCGCCCTTTCCTAAGTGGAGGGAGTTTAAGTGGTTGATTGTTAATTGCACGTCCTAGGGAGAAGATGAAAATCCCTGCCAACGTCGTCGACCAACTAGTCGCCGGAGCGCAGTCCGATATTCGGCAGGTACTCAATATGTTGTCCACGTGGAAGCTATCCAGTAGTACGATGGACTTTGACGAGAGCAAAGAACTGTGCGCTCTCCTTCATTGGCTAAGGAACATGCAAGCTGATTTTCTCATCGTAGTGTCAAGATGAACGAGAAATACGCCATCATGACTCCTTTCAACGTGACGTACAAGATCCTTGGACCGTATACATTCTCTCCTACTTCTCGGGAGACACTGGGGGATAAGATGGAATTGTATTTCCATGATTTCTCTTTTGTTCCACTATTCATCCAGGCACGTGAACTGTCGTCTCTGCCTTCACGCAAAGCCTTCCAGCTGTTGAGCTCACCTTATCGCTTACCATTAGGAGAATTATCTGAAGACGCAGCCCGTGAAAGTCAGGAACCTAGCTGGCCCAGAAAAGGACCTCAAAGAACTCGAGCTCATGGATAAGGCAGCCACTTCAATCTCGGATGGCGACCTAGTCGATGGATTGATCCATGGGTCAGTGCCAAGGGTGGTCGACTTGCGCTCTCTAATTTGCAAAGTTTGTAGATCTGAGCAACATTGGTCGCTGATGCCACTGCATGCCGTCCTGTCTACAGTGCGCCCGGCTTCATTCATATATGGGAATTGCCAACAGTATGGCGGGCCACATGCCATATCTTTCCCTCAGTATGTCTATGAGATGCGCCGGTCGCGGAAACTACGCTGACATCCTACTGCTAGATGGCTGGGCCAGAACTCGAAACAGAACAAACTGTCCCGACAGCTGAATGACGTGCAGGTGAGGATGCGCCTGAAGGTCTCTGGTGACAAGTCCGAGGTCCGGCAGTCATATATCCCCGCGCTGTTCCCTGTCATAGTGAAGCCATTGATGGATGTCGGAGCAGTCAGTTATTCCACTCGTTCCCCCCACGTCAACTCATATCTCCCACAGAGTGCCGTGGACGAGGTTATCGACAGAATGGACGACTACTACCTGTCGAAGGAGGACTGGGATACTATTGTCGAATTGGGAGTGGATCAAAACAAAGACGAGCTCGTGCTCAAAAAGATCCCTGCTGCAACAAAGACTGCGCTCACTAGGAAGTAAGTTGCTAGCCATTGGTGCCCGCTAGAATGAAGCTCATCGCTCCTCAAGGTATAATTCTAGAGAGCATCCCATACCGTTCCACAAGGCGCAAGACTTGGGTAAGGCGCCGAAGAAAATCGCCGCCTCTGAAGTGCCAGATCTGGAAGAAGCATTTGACGTGAGCAATCTACGCTTCATCCATCGATCGCCACTGATAAATGTCACCACCAGGTGGACGAGGACGTCCCTGAAGAGGTCGTTGAGGACGATCAAGGCGAGGATGAGGACGTCAGCAAGGACAAACTTATAAAGATGCCGAAGGCGAATAAAGGGAAACCCGCTGCGGCCAAAGCCAAGGGGAAGAAAGGCTGAGCGCTGGTCGTGTTCTTGATTATTGTAGCCCAACCTATACATTAGAGGATACTGTACTGTACATTGCTATTGCATATTGATGGTACGAGGAGTACTGCAGCGACAAGATAAATAGTCAGTCTATGCGTGAGTAACTGGTGACAGAGTCGTAACAATCAATCTACGTCGTCAAGACCATTGAAGGAAGGAGCTAGGGCAGGTGGTGACGATTGACTTGGGGTGGGAGGCGTGGGCGGAGTGGATGGTCCAGGAGGGACGGCAGGAGGAGCGGACTTCTCTGCCTTTCGCTTCTGCTTGTCAGCTTTTGTCGCCATCTTCTTCTTTTGCGTCTTAGCAAACCGAGCCAGCGCATCTACGCCGTCGCAAATATGATGCTTGCTGGGCCTATCAGCCAGTCTGCGAAGGGATGAATCAGTAAGCGCTGATCACAGATGGATAGGTCACACTTCACCTTCCAATCATCTCATCAACCGCGTCGCGGGCCCTCACGTATGGCATCGACCCCAAGATATCCTTGTAGACTCTGGACAAGACGGTGCTTCCGCCCTTCACACTACCGGCCGCGAGGACCCAAGACTCAAATCGCAATTTCAATTGCGGTCTAAACTCCTCTCGTAAATCTTCTAGGTCCGGATCCGACTGATCAATATCGAGGTAGCCAAGGGGGTCCGGCTCATCCGAATCCGCTATAGCAGCGCCTAAGGGAAGACCCATCATAAGCGCAGCGAACGCCATCGGATGGGGCGGCTGGGTCCCGGGCGTCACGATCGCGTCCACCCACGCCTCAAGCCGCTCCCTTCTAGCGTCCGACGCGGCGCGGAGCTTCATAATATCCTCAAACTCGTCCTTGTTCGCCTGCTTGTCGATCTCGGAGAAGTACCCGAGGAGCGCGGCGCGGATGGCGCGCGCCGCGTCCAGCAGTTCCTTCTCAAGCATCTGCAGTGCGCGGTACTGGAAGAAGGGGTTGTGCGAGAGGGAGATGACGGCCTGCTGGTACGACGGGGCGTCGCGTGGCCGCAGGAGGTGCGCGTGCGTGTCCAGCAGCGAAATGAGCGCCTCGTTGTTGCACTGGAAAGAGCGGATGTCGAGTGCGGCAACGAAAGTGCTCGTCGACGACGTCGCGATGGAGGACAGTTGCTTTTCTAACTGCGCCCGAGTGGCTTTGGGGTCGGTGGAGATGGCGAGAAGGCACTCCCAGAGGCCCAGCGACGGCGATACCTGGAAGACTGAGAGTAGGTGGTCTTGAACGAGTTTGCGCAGAGGGACAATGTGGTCGTTTAGCTTCTTTGGCCAGTGATCGGCGTGGTACGAACAGGAACACCGGTCGGGGTCATCCTCGTGGTCGTCCTCTTCGTATTCCCGCATCCAGTTGTCCTCCTCGTCTTCTTCTTCATCCTCTTCATCGCCCCATGATACGCCTAGAGCGTTATATGACATAAATACATGAAAAGCGTATCAATGCGGTACTCACGCATTCGGCCTCCGCACAACATCCGTTCTAAAGCTCGCCATTTCATCACATGTTCCATATCGGCCAGCATTTCCGGCAGCTGGGAGGTTAGCCGGGTGTTGCCACTTGCTAGCATGACGAGGAACATGTCGCGCCAGATCCAGAGCAGCGCCCTGTCAAGACTGGGTCCACCAGATAGAGAGAAGGACTTCACAACCCGCCCGTTCCGCTTCTTGATTTTCAAGCTTACGTAGAGGTTATTCCAAGCACATTTACAACTGGCATAGAGTGTAAGCGATGGAATCGGAAGTCGACCTATAATTTCTTACCCTTCTGAAGGCAGACTGCCGCAGAAGAAGGATGAACAAGTGGATCAGTAATCAATGCAAGTAAAGTGGGGACATTTTGGAGGAGTAGATCCGCATGCAAATCCATAGACCAATCTTTCCAAAGTCACGCACAGTCTACTCAGTTGCAAGATCCAACCTTGAAACGTGCGGCTGTACATGGCTCTCGAGATCTCGGGTCTATGGATATAGACGGGGTGCAACCTGCCCCGAGCCAACGGCACTTCACCCTCCAGTACCGATCACAGCACCAAGCAAAGCTGAAGCACTCTCTCAAGGGCTCCACGTCTGAAGAGGCGTCCGCGGAACCGAAAAGCTCAGAACTCACCCACGAGAACTGGACAAGTCCTCCAACACGCTTGCAGCGTAAACCAGGCACCTATGCGCCTCCTCAAAGTCAACCTTGTACTCGTAGATGATGCTCCATATATCGTTCAACCAGTCCGTCAGGCTGTCGACAATCTCCGAAAGCAACTCATCCCTGATCGAACGGCCCTTGACGAAAGAACGCTTCATGTCCTTCTCCAGCTCATCGAGCAGCGCATTGACTTCCTTCCTCTTCTGCTTGAGGTTGAGAATGGGGATGCCCTCGTAGCGTTTGTGCATGCGCGACGCCGCGGCGATGGCCTTTCGGCTCCTGTCCAGCGGGACGGCGTTCAGCAGCGGCACGAGGTGCTTCTCCACAAGGTTTCGTCGTGCATCACCAGGCAACGAGTCGTACAACCGGATAAACCTGAGGGATATGTCTATAAATTGTGTTTGTGAGGTATGTGAACTCACCTCTCGCTTGGAGGCATCTTCAAGACCACGGTAGAAAGCAATTGTGGCAACTTGGGTCGCGATATATTGGGTAACGCGTAACGGGAGCGCGTAGAGTCACGCAATTGTGGCTGCACTCATTCTAACGTTAACTCAAGTCCTCGGCTTTGTGCACCTTTTCAGCTCATCCAGGAAGAGTCCCTAAAATCACAGGGCTGCGCTTCCATAGAAGAGCTCAACCTAGGGCCTACAAATCAACTATTCTGGCAATGTGCATTTCGTGCATATTATTGTACAATCCCAAGCTCGGGGTAAATGGGGCACATGAAGAGCAAATTTATTGACGATGTGCAGTCTACTCCTTCGCCACTTGAACTACGACCTTCCCCTTGTTGGTACCACCAAGGAGAGCTGCCAGTGCGTCTCCGGCTTGCTCTATTCCTTGGAAGATATGCTCGGCGTGCTTGATCTCCCCGCGGGCGATCATGCTAGGAACGACGGTGAAGAATTCCTGACCATGCTTCTCGATCAATGAGGAGCTGATGTACCCTACGAGTTTGATCTGCTTTGGTACAATGAAAAATAGATTCTGTAATTCTTGTGTAAGGGCCATGCAAAATCCAGACAAATTCCATAGAACTAACCCCAACGCCCTGCGGGGCAGCATTGTTGTAGGTCGTGATCATCCCACATTCCGTCGGGACCTGGTCAGATGCGCTCATACGAGAAATGTATCAACTTACTATGAACGTGGCGCCGAACTTGGCAGCGTCGATCGCAGCCTCCAGCGTCTCGCCACCTACGTTGTCCCAGTAGCTGGAGAACAAAGTCCGGCGATGAGTCGCAGCCGAACTGTTAAGAGAGGGAAGCTTACATGTCAATGCCACCAGCCTTCTTCAGTACCTCCCTAGTGTCCGTCTTCTTGTAGTTGAACGGCACATCCACGCCGAGCTTCTTCATGTACTCGACCTTCTCGTCCGAGCCTGTCGAAGCGATGACCTTACAGCCAGCCTTCTTCGCAAGCTGGACTATCATCTTACAGAAGAAAGACCGTCAACCACCACGACCGACACATCCACTGAAGAACGTACGAGCCCACAGCGCCGGCCCCAGCGCTCACAAAAATCACGTCGCCCTTCTTCGCCGGCGAGAACTCCCGCCAGCCCAAGTAGGCCGTGAGCCCGGGCAGACCCAGCATGCCTAGGAACACCGACCATGGGAGGTTCTCCCTGTTGTCGATGACCATGAATTCTTTCGGGTCAGCGACAAAGTACTCCTGGAACGCTATGGCTAGATATCAGAAGAATGCTTATGATCCGTCGGTTGAGAAGAGACGTACGAAACTCGCCGAGGGCTTGGGTCGTGCCCCAGACGTGATCGCCGGGCTTGTGCGTCGGGCTCTCAGAGCGCAGCACTACACCGACGCCGTAGTTCTGGACAACCTCACCAACCTTGAAAGCTGGCTACGAAAAAGGGGCTTGGATATTAGACACCTCTTCTTTCAATCAAGAAAAGGTGCACGAACTATGTCTGGCAGGGGGATCCGCATTTTACCCTGGATGAAGGGGTCGATACCGAGGAACAGCGTCTTCACCAGGATCCCGCCGTTCAGTGAGACGGTGTCCAGGTCGATTGTCTGGCTGCTATCGTACACCGTCGTCTTGCCCGGCACGGGGACACCCGCTGGGACTTCGTTGAAGATGAGACGGCCGTTTCGGACTGAAGCCATTTTTGTCTGCGAGGGTGGTGGGGATTCGATTTTGCCTAGGGGCTGAGAGTCGCTGTTTCCGCCCATTGCATTTATCCTCAACTTCGAGCAGGCGGCGTAAAAAGAACGCGTCGAGGACGTCGCGAGACGCGAGGCGATTACTGACCTCCCGTGCTGCCGCATGCTTCCCCGGTCGCAGATGAATCAGCAAACAACGATTTACACTGTGAGTCCACTCTGTAAGAAGCCCAGCAACTAGCCGATGAATATATCGAAGGACTTCTGGCCACAAACACAGTCAGCAATGCTGTTATGGACTGTTATTTCCGGGGCTAAGGAGGTCCAACCCTTGATCGCTGCACAGCACGTACGCACCTCCTCGTTTGCAGAACCTCGGGACCGATGATGACTCTGCAAAGCCTGGGAATATCCGCGGACGGGTGGTAGCCATGAGGAAGTAGCCATGGATTAGGTCCTTCTCGAGTGCTTAGAGGAAGTAGATGGTGTTATAGTCCTGGTGCCACAGTGTCTTGCCGTCCGTCCATCTCATTTCTCAACTGGATGCTTTTTCAATACCGCGGTTCGAGTTGGGCTGTGCGGGTAGCACCAGTAAGTCGGTGAAGAGCCAGAGCGCCTCGTCACCGCTCCCCGCCTTTTCTTAGGACGTCGTAAGCCCCTTGCCTCCATTTTTCGCTCCGCTGTAGTGTTGGGCGCGCGTCGCACCGCGGGAGCAGGGAGCGACAGCTTACCCGCACCCGCATGCACCGTGCTCTGGGCCGGTACGAGTACGAAACCCACCGTCTAAACCGCGGGTAGATCGCCAATGCGCGAGGTGACATTGAACCGTTATAGGGGCGTCGATGCTGATAGTCCGCTGTCTCTATCGCATGATCGCAAGCGCCAGATAGGATTAAAGTACCGCATGCCGACGTATCGGCCATGAGTGCGCTACGTGGACCATGCATGTCGTGCACATACGCCACGACTGCCTTCGTGTGTGTGTGTGGGGGGGGGGGACCCCTACTCCCTCCGTGAAATAGGTACTTTCTCCTGGAAGTGTATGCACTGGGTTTCAATGAGCCATGGTTTTCGGACGCAACCATGTCATACACTGACAGCATTAATTCGTATAGTCGGGTCAAACCCGTCTACGCCGGCATACTCTCACCACCTGCCGCTCCCGCCTTACGGTGCACCGAGCCACGGGATCAAGTCCAGACCTAGGCCTCTTCGAGGTGAACAGGCCACTGTAGAGTCTGCCAACTAGCCGAAGCAGAAGACAAGCCGGCGGTAGTTGTCTCTCCGCAAAACCTTTTAAGACCGAGAAAGTAAAGACCAGTTTTTCCTGGGAGGCGTAATCAGAGGTATCAGGGCCATTGGTGTCCGCCCGCGAGGAAAGGTGCCAGCACGGAAGAGTGTGGATACGGTAGGGCAGCCCTGAATGCCGCAACGTCGAATAGCCCACAGTGAAGGAGAGGAGGCGCGAAGTTAGGTGATGGCTAAACTGAATTTATTCAAGAGTCAAGACGGAGTGACGAGGGTTTCAAACTGATCAGCCCGGCGGGCAGTGGGCAGTGGAGACGCAAGCGGGACTGTGAGTAGATCGACTGCCCCCGAGTGAACGCTGACCTGACCGTATGATAGATTGAAGTCTATCGGGAACCGAGCTGATTGCGCATGCCCAGTCGGTGGCAGCAAGACGAAATCGATGAATCGTCGCACGATGTGATTATTGGCCGCTGGAGGGGGAGGAGCGTGATTACGCAATGATCCATGTTATACAGGACCCAATTTCTAGTGGCTTTATACCCCTATTGTTGCATCTCTGCTGATGTCAGTAATCAAATGTACCCTTGCCAGTGAGGGAAACAACGGGGCTCGGGTGCAAAGCGCAACGTATCGCGGATCCTGGGCCCGGGCGACTGGGAGCCACATCCACGGCGTTCATGCGCAAAGCACAGTTCTCTCAATGGCATTGACCGCCCGCGTAAGGACTCTGCAGCATAACGCCCTGTGTAGGAGGAGGAGAGACCAATACAATTGCTTCGCTCCCTTACACGCATTCCCCCCTTCTACAGATGGTGTAGAAAGAATATGTTGCCTTGAAGGAATTCTGCATGCGTCCTGTTCGGCTCTGGACGAACGGCACTGGCGGTGGCAAGGCGTTGTGGCACATAAATTTTGACAGAATTTGGGGTTTTATGCTCGAAGAATTTATTGCACGAGGAAATCCAAAAATAACGACCCAAAATTATAATATCTCGATTATCTCCTTGGCAACTCCTGCCAGGAGTCGACGACCCTCCATGCCGGCGGTATTGCAATTGGCCTAACCGCTGCGGTTTGAAGGCGAACAGAACTTTCTCCTTTCACCACACAATTGCTGTACTCGGGCAGACTGGATTTTGCATGGCTTCGGTAGTCTCTCCCAGCCCTGAAGGTACGACTTTTCCTATATTGCTGGCGACGCTTTACTCACGACTATTGTCTGCCAATATTCCTTTCTTCCGATCCACAAAAGGTGTGTAAACGCAGGCGCTCGTAACGCTGATCAGATGCTAACTGCTTTCTCCGGAATTGGCTGCGGTGCACGCCCAGTACAGACTTTTCTCCGCGCGCATCGCTAGCCCTCGAGACGCTCGAGCCACCCTCTTCGTCGCCCTTCCCCTCGCCCTCCTCGTCCTTTCTCCCGCCTCCTGTACCCGGCGTACACGAGTTCGCGGCACCCCCGTCGAAACAGCCGAAGAGAAACAGCGCAGGGAGCCATCAGGGACCATCACCAGGAGACAAAGATAAAGATAACCATAACCACGCGGACAGCAGTAATCCAAGTATGAGCGTTCACGGCGCCGCGGGCGAGAACGCCTCGCGGAACCCAGGCAAGTCCGCGCAGCTGCTCAGCCTCCCACCCGACTCCCCAGCCGCCTCGCCCATAACGCCCACCCTGCCCACGCCCACGCCCGCGCTGCTCGCCGGGGGCACCAAGACGCCGACGCCCTCGTCCCCGATCACGCTCGACGGCCTCGCCATCTCCGCCGACATGGGCTCGCCCTCGCTCTCCGCCTCGCGCCCCGCGCCGCCCTCGCCCGCGCCCTCGCGCCGCTCGTCGGCGATCCTCCACGGCAGCTCGCTCTCGCGGCGCTCGTCCAAGTCGTCGACGCGCCCGCCGGCCAGCAATACCAACAAGTCGCAGTCGCGCCTGTCGCAGCTGTCCTCCTCGCTCGCGTACTTCACGCCGTCCTCGTCGCCTGCCCAGTCCGCGCAGTCGGTGCCGGACTCGCCGCGCCCGAAGCGGCGCTCGCTCTTCCTCGCGAAGATCCGCGACTTTGCGTTCCCGCCGAGCGACGAGCGGCACTGCGGGAAGGGGCCGGACGTGCCGCGCCCGAACCGCTACCCGAAGCGCATGTCGACGCTGAGCTACGCGTCGAGCTCGACGGACGAGGATGATGATGAGGATGGGGACGAGCGGCTAGGCAAGGCGGGCACGTGGGGCGGGTTCAAGTGGGGGTTCGGCGGCGGCGGGTGGGGGTTCGGGAATCGAGGGGGGAGGATGCCCGGGGAGGAGGATCTGAACGATATGCCGAGCCAAACAGAACTTGCACGGAACTTTTCGGGTGAGGAGGAAGAGGAGGAGTCGTACGAGGATGGGCAGGAAGGGGGGGAGGAGCCGCTGTATCCCGGGTTGTACAAGGCGCTGTATGCGTTTGTGCCAGAGGGCACGGCAGAGATGGCGCTAGAGGAGGAGCAGGTTGTGCGAGTGATTGGGCGGGGTGGGGGTGTTGGCTGGGCGGTCGTGGCGCGCCCCGAGAAGGACGGCGGGGGCCATGCGCTGGTGCCAGAAAGCTATCTGGAGCCCGTAAAACTGGACGACGAGGAAGACTAAGGGTGCTGTTGCCTTGCTGGCGAGGAACAGCTCCTTTGACCTTGAGGTACGTACGTACCCGTTCTGTACTGTCCATCGCATACGTGCTGACTTCTGTCGCCCCAGCCCATTCTTGGTTTCGGCCGCCCACTTCTCATCGATCATGCACTTGCGGAATTAATCAATGTTTTTCCTTTTATCCCACCTCATATGTTTCGCTCTGGATCTACGTGCTGTGATGTGTGTATCCCTCCCTCCCGTACATATGTGTAGACGCTACGACCAGCCACATGTTGTACGAAAATTTGCTCCTTCATTATGCGTATTCTAGTTTTCGGTGGGTGGACATCGTTATTGTTTTGCTACTACAGTATCGTGCCTGTGGGCGTGTCTGTTGCACGGCTGACAACTTACACGCCACAGTGATTTGCGCACTCGTATGTCAACCGACTTACCTTTTGCCACACTCAGACTAGCAGTGGTAGAAAAGACAGGCCTCGCGATCGCAGTCCGCAGCCCGTCGACCATGCTCCAAGCATTGACATGGCGTCTTTCTACCGGATTCGGGTCCTTCTCTGTCCCCGAGCTCCAGCGTTTTCAGGAGTCTAAGTATTGCTTTGTCGTTAGCTAGTCTATTGATTATATTTCTGTGGTAATATCTGCTTCTGTCACTATCAGTGCCCTTGAAAGCCATAATATGATGCTTCCAGATCGTTTCTTCGAATTCCCTGTACATATGCATATGTATGCCTCTTTCCATTTGCGAAGTATCTCCCTCCCCGCCACCAGTGTTTGGAGGACGCCGATAAAATCGAAATGAATATTGCACCCAACAATAAATAAGCGCCCACAATGATAAACTGATCTTCGGACGATTTGGGCGATTTGCCCTCTTTACCCTCTCTCTCGCATCTCAGCTGGCTACGTTAGATTCACCGTCCGAAGGTATCTCAGGATGGCGTCGGAAGGCAAGGAGAACGGCATGTATATCTGATCTGGTTGAGAGACGAGTTATGTTGATTCATTGATTCACGGATGCAGTCCTCGTCGGCGTTATTGGAGGGAGCGGGCTGTATCACTTGGATAACCTTACTTTCGTGTGAGTACTTTGCTTTCGACATATCGATACCCCGCCCTGGGCGAGATGCGGTCGATCTGCCCATGGGTCTCTGTTTCTGTCAAGACATATGGCTCGAAGGATGAAAACCGTCCTTGTCGGTCTTGATCCTTCGGACCTATGTAATTCTTGGACAGTTACAGAGCGCAGGCAGGGTATGGCACGCATATACGTGGCTGAGATGGGAGCGGGGAAGGAGCCGTGTTTCCGTTGTTGGTCCCGCCTCGCTGCCATTGTCCGCGTCGTTCCTGGGCGTTTTGCGTCCAGAATCGCTTATCATTGTCGTGCATATACCCACACATCCTAGTATATTTCATCCAAATAAATACTAACACCCGCCCAGAAAACACGTCAACCCCGAAACAGTACGCCCCTCCTCTTTCTCCTAACGAACCAGCCAACCCCCACCCCCTAGCCCTGGGGCCTCCCCTCCTCGCCCATCACCATCTGCGCGCTCCCCTCGGGCACGCTCGTCGCCTTCCTCGCGCGGCACGGCCCGGGGCACACCCTCTCCCCCTCCGCGGTCCCCGCGCGCGCGAACATCGCCGCGCTCAAATCCCTCGGCGTGCGCGCCGTGCTCGCCTTCTCCGCCGTCGGCTCCCTGCGCGAGGAGATCCCCCCGGGCGACTTTGCGCTGCCCACGCAGATCATCGACCGCACGAAGGGCGTCCGGCCCAGTTCGTTCTTCGAGGGCACGAGCGTCGTCGCGCACGCGGCGTTCGGGGACCCGTTCAGCGTGCGGCTGGTGGGGTGGCTGGAGGGCCGCGTGCGGCGCGCGCTGGAGGCAGCGGGGCGCGGCGTGCGGCTGCACACGGACAAGTGCATCGTGTGCATGGAGGGCCCGCAGTTCTCGACGCGCGCGGAGAGCGCGATGTACAGGACGTGGGGCGGGGACTTGATCAACATGAGCGTGCTCCCGGAGGCGAAGCTCGCGCGCGAGGCGGAGCTCGGGTGCGTCGCGCCCCGTGTGATACTGGGCGGGTGCTGATGGTGCGGTTCGGGCGTAGGTACGCGCTGATCGCGACGGCGACGGACTACGACTCGTGGCGCCCGCACGAGGGGAGCGTCACGGCGGCGGAGGTGTTCAAGGTCCTCCAGGCGAACGCGGACACCGCGCGCCACGTCGCGGCGACGATCCTCGACGACCTGCACGCCGCGGCGCTCGAGGGGGATATACTCACCGAGGAGATCGGGTCGATGAAGTTTAGTATTATGCCGCGGAGCGAGAAGCAGAAGGACGAGGATCGGAAGAAGTTGGCGTATGTGCTGCCGGAATATTTTAGTTGAGTGGGTGCAGTTGCGGTATGTTGGAGGATGTCCTTGAAACATATTGCGTTGCTGACGAAAACCATAGTGTTAAAATAAATGAATGTATCTCCTAGAGTAAATTATGTTAGAGCCATCGCAGAAACTGTTACGGAAGGTTGAGTATCAACGGTCGAAGCTACACCAAGCTGAGTGCGGTCGTCCTTTAGCATTCTGGACTAGCGGCTCTTGCAGGCATGCTAAACCAGCGGAGGGCCCATAGGAGGTTTCTCTAACCATTGAGAATTGGACAGCGTGGGTTGCGCGGAGCGGCTCGACCTCGGTATCGAATCCGTGAACTTCTTTCCGTGCCGCCAGACTTGTACGTATGGCAGTGTTCTTCGACAGTTCCGGAGCCTATCCGACTGAATCCGTATTCATACTGACCTCCATCTGTAGAGTCACGCGGACCCGTCCTTCGAAGAGGTCTGGCAAATCCTAACTCTTTCGAGCGTCCAGGTCAATCGCGATCAGATAACCACGTTAATAGTCCTTCACCCCAAGTCCAGGTGGGGCATGCGGTGCCATTCATTCATTCATTGAACGCTATGCTATATTACAGAACGACAGCCTCGGCGTCGATAATTATCAAGATGCAAGGATACGGTACATTACTACTGTTACATTACCAGTGGGTATGCGTGGTCCGTGGGTTGGAGGTTTTGGATGCGGGGATCGATGGGCACGGTGAGTGCCAGTGTGAATGCGCAAGGCAATCATAGGTTATGCTTTTTTATGTACCTCATGATCGTCAGGGACGCGACGATCTCTGCATACCCACGAATCGAAGTCAGCATGCGTCCCGGTCCCGCAGGAATATTAGTGGGCATAATGCGTACCCAGAGCGAGGTGCGCGTACTCGTCGTATATCGTGAGGATGTTCCCTGACGACCCGTACGCGGGCTTGCGCGGTGGCCTCAGGTTGTAGTGCGCGACGAGGACGTTGTCGGCGCTCGTGCACTGTGTGGACGTCAGGATATACTCGGGGAACACATCGCCAACACACACCGTCCATTCTTGCCCCTCCACTATCCGGTAGCTCCACTTGTACTCCTGTCCGTCCGACGCCTTGAACTTTCGAGATAGCGACCTGAGCAAATGTTTGCTGTCAGTCAAGGCGTCGCAATTCCATACAAACAGCGGACCGACCCACCCTCCGAGGAATGATGCCCGCCGGAGGTACTTCCCCATCGGCAGCGACGCCGGCGGGTCCACGAACGCGACGCTCCCGAGCGCCCCGCTCCCATCGCCGAAATGCATCACCACGGAAGGCGTGTAGCGGAAGTGCCGGCGGTCGTCCGCGCGCGACGACGCGGAGCGCCGGCCCATGTCGTACACCGCGGGCAGGCCCTGCGGCGTGTGCGCGACGCGCAGGAAGAGGCGGTCGTAGATGTCGTCGAAGTCGGTCGCGGTGAGCGACCCGGTGCGGTCCTCGAGGATGTACGGGAGGCCTTTGGTTGTGGACATGTCGGCGGCGAGGGTGGAGGAGGAAAGGCGTGTGAGGGTGGGGGCTGCGTCCTCCCTGCCGGTGGTGTCCCTATTATACCAGGGGAGGAGGAGTGGGTGAGTAGGTGTGCGCGCCAGGTGATCCCAGCTGGCCTTTCATAACCAGGAAGAATGGCGAGATCCGCAGCGCGACGGGGCTACACCCGTGTAAGCGTAGGAGGGGCGCCAGATCCTGGGCATCTGGCTAGTATAGTCATACTCACCGGGAGGGTTCAACTTCGCGAAGCCTGGAACCCAGAGCGCTTCGGCCGAGCCAGAGATCGCGCAGGAACTCCATGGGCCCGGGGGTGCACTGCTCTCAGGAGAGGCCCTGGTCGTGGCACCGCTCGGTGCCTCGGTGAGCGTCTTTTACAAGGGAGACTAGAGTAATAAACACGTTGCAGGCGAGCTGGCGGAGGGACGCACACGAGGCGATGTGATAGATGGGAAGGAGCACTGCGAGTCGGCTCATTCACATCCTTTCCATTTCGCTCGCTTGACATGGTATTCGGCGGAACGGGTGAAAGGCAGACAAGCATACAGTACATACACCAAAAATATCCCGCTGGGACCGGGAAGCGCATTGTTCGTCGCAATCGTGAAAGTGACGCGTGCGGGAATGGGGATATTGCGGCGGGTAGTTGGCGTCAGTAGTACCGTTTGGGAGGACAATGTAGGTATAGCGCGCCGCCTTTGACAGGTAACGGGAAGATCAAGATCCTTTGCTATTCTATATGATGAAGGATGCACTGGAAGAAGATGGGAAGGGGCATCGAAGGACTTCTGGTCGAGGATGCCACCTACGAAGTTCGCGCAAACCGATTATTCCACCGCATTCCTCAACAACTCTGAGTCGATTCGAATACCGGCTATGAAACGTCGATGTTTCCGGTGACGACGCGGAACCAACCCTGTAACGAAGAATCGGGGGACCAAGGGCTGCGAGACTGCTCTAGGTGTGTCTGAATTAATGCAACATAACACCAGTCAGATGCCTCCGTCAATGTGGAGACCATGGATGTGCAGATTCAGTCTGTTTGGGAGCTGATTAAAGCCACCCTCTATACTCTGTGTGGTAAGGATCCACGTCCCAGCCACGAGACCGTCCGACAAATGAAGAAGAGCGTGCGGGAGAACCACGTCGCGGTCATGGGTACGTCCCTGTGACTCTCTATCGTGTCCCCTTCACACAAAGTTCCAGCTCACGTTTAATGGTGGAGTATCTAGGAGTCGTTATGAACGCAACACGCACCCATCCCCAGAACGCGGGTCCCGGTGCAACAGGGACTTCCTATGCCGTTCTGCATGGGGTTATATGGGAGAGGAGCGTGTCGCGGTCGGCACCCCAGCGAGTCCGCCCCAGAGAGAGCTGACAGATCGGAAATACCATTGTCGTTGCCTTATTCATAGACCCGACCTTACGAACGGGGTTAAGGCCATACTCACGACGGACCTAGCTGAGATCGACCGAGAGAGGACAAGATCCGTGAGCCTCCGAGGCGAGGTACACTAACCCCACGCCCAACTGAGCAGTTTCACCACTCACGAAACGCCAAGCAAGCAAACAAGCAGATAAGCAAGCACCAAGTCTCTTGTGGATTGGTCGTAGCACCGCACTCGGGACTTGGGACTCTATATCATTTTGTCAGCATCGTACCCGCCGCCGGCCTGCCCTATCAGCCCGGCGGACGTTTTAGCATCCAAGAAGAGCTCCGACATCTCCGACACGTCCTCCTCCTCGATCTGCGCGCGGCCCCCGAGCGTCGCAAGGATCGAGCCAGGCATAAGGAGCTGCAATGCATATCTGTAATCCATTGCAGCAGTCAGAATGGGTCGAACGCCAAATCACATGGGTAGTGAAAGTGAATATGAACGGCAGGACATACCGTAATGAACTCCGTTCGCCCTCTGCAGCCAGCCGCTCCAGCACGCCGGGTCCGAGCTTCAGCCCCTCGACGTTCGCGCGCAGCTGCAGCACCTTGGCGATCTGCTCTTGCGTGTGCGTCTCCGTCTTGACTATCAGACATCTACATAGACAGAACCCGTCAGCTGACCGAGTCTACTTTGAATGAAGGCGATCAAGGATTCACCGGTCGAGCAGGTCGACGGGGATGCCGTGCGGCGCGACGATGTCCTGCGTGCCGCGCACGAGCGAGTTGCCGCGGTTCGTCGCGAAGATGACAGTGGGCGCCATGGGCGACTCGAGCAGCGCATTCAGGTACGTGAAGCACTCAATATCGAGCATATGCACCTATGCCCCCATGAGCGCCCCACCACACCCTCACCCAATCCTCACTCACCTCGTCGATGAACACCACCCCGGGCACGACCTCCGCGACGCCCTGGTCGACGTAGCCCTTGACGACCTTGTTCACCTCGCGGCGGAGCTTGTCGGTCACCTCGGTGCGCCCGCTCTTGACGAGGCTGCCCATGACGCTCATGATGTCCTGCCCGCCCTGCGGGCGCGCGTTCGCGGCGTCGAGGTCGCCGAGCGTCACGTCCTGCACGAGCTCCTTGCGCTTGTGCACGTCGCCCTTCGGCAGCGGCACGTACGTCTCCGACTCGAGGTCGTACGCCGACGCGTACGCGTCCGAGCGGCCCACGCGCTGCGGGCGGTGAGTGGGCGTGCGCGGGGATGGATGGGAGGGCGACGCACCTTGACGGCGCCCGTGTTGGCTTCGATGTAGATCACGTCGCCCACGACGATCTTCTCTTTCAGGATCGCCTCGTAGATGCTCGGGTCGAGCCGCAGCTGCTTCGTCCCCTTCACCGTCTTCAGCCCGACGATCACGTGCGAGACCGTCTTGCCGTACCCGCTCAGCGGGTTCTCCGCCTCCGCCGGCGTCAGCTCCGTCACCTCGCCCTCGTACACCTCCTTCGTCTCCTTTATCCGCAGCCCTGCGAGGGTCTCAGCAGCTGGCGCGGGGAGCGAGCGTCACCCGCGAGACTCACCGATGGCTCGCCGGAACGCCTCCGCGAGCACTTCCGTTTTTTTCACCTCTGTACTGTACACCTCCGAGCCCACCATCGGGCAGAACGGTACTTTTGACCCCAGTTCTTGTGATATTGCTAACGCGAGCGCGGTTTTGCCCGTTCCGGGCGCGCCGACGAGGAGTAACGCCCGTCCCGAGAATTTGCGTGATTTTATGAGGTCGACTACGACCCCGCATGCCTATAGCCAATTTGCGAGTTAGTAAATATTCCCGGATCTCAGATCACATCAGCGTGCAAGGATATACGGGAAGGACGCCGTGCATAGCACTTTTGGCGGCGAGGCAAAAATGGGCAAAAATAGTGAAGTTGGGGAAATGTTATGGTCCGCAGAATGCTCGAGGACCGTAGCTTGGAGGGACAGCTCATCGCGATCAGAGCGCGCCTGAACTCCGCCAGTCCCTCAGCTAGCCGTCTAGGACCAGTCTTTTTCGCCGCATTGCTGAGCAGCGGGGAGAGCGAGGTCGATCGTCTTCTTGGGGCCGTTGCTTCCCCTGAATGCGCCCGTAAAGATGTTCATACGCAACGAGAAGGATACGAGGCAGGAGACGGTGTTAACGAGCAGTCGGCCCCTGGCAGTCTCTCCCCGGTAACGAGAAACCAGGGTCACGAAAATTGACATTCGAGACTTGCAGAAGGTGGTCCTTCCCCCGCACGACCAAGGTACCGGTATTCCGTAGAGATGGGTATACTTGCGCGTCCCTACGGGGTCCGGTCGATCAGGGTCTTGATAGAGCGTGTCCTAGGACGCCCGGCACGAGAAGGGAAGGACCGCGGTGCGCATGCGATGACTAGAACGAGCAGAAGGCCTACACCGCGGTGCGCCAACCCTGCTCTGATCGAGTCCGTGCTAGATGCATGTTCGTCCAGCCTGAATGTCTCGTATAGCCAGACGCAGACCGAATGGTAGATAGACGACTCCGACCGACGCAGAAGATTTCGGACCGCGTACAAGTCGGTATCCCGTAGACACGCGCCTACGGGTCGCCTGGCCACAAAGTGCGGGGAGATCATTTTCCACAGCCGGGCATATGCCGTGACCCGCCCATGCTGAGCAGCGCGCGCCTGCACAAAGCAAGCTCGTTCCCGTCCTCCCATGCCCGAGAGATAGCCCTCCGCCGCAGCGAACTCGAAAGAACGCAAACACATCCGCGTCGTGAACCCCGTACGTCCTCGCAGCCCCCAACCGAGAAAAAGGCACCCACCTCCCTGGCATTCCCCTGCCCCACGAACCCCGCGGCGTCCGCGACCGCGAAGCCCTCGGGGGAGAGCCCGAGGCCCTTGATGTGCGAGTGCGTCGCGATGCGGGCGGTCGAGGCGGAGGACGGCGGCGGCAGCGCGTTGTGCGCGACGGGCGCGGCGGCGGCGGCGGAGGGGCCCGCGGCGGCGCTCATGTTGTGGTGTGCTTTCAAGGGAGAGGATGCGGGGAATGGGGAGAGGAGGAAGAATGGGATGGAAAGCGATCGACCGGATTAGGCGCTCGCGCAGCGCGTCCGATTCTGGCTCGTCTTGTCCTGCTACCACGCGCTCCTCCGCCTGCCCTCCACCACACCCGCCCCATCGACCGGTCCCGCCATGTCGAGCACGACGCCGTACGTCCAGTCCGGCGACCCTCTGCACGAGTTCCTGCGCTCGTTCTGGCAGCGCCAGATCGACCAGGCCGAGCAGGAGACGCCCGACTACAGGCACCCGCCGCTCCCGCTCGCGCGCATCAAGAAGGTCATGAAGAGCGACCCGGAGGTCAAGGTGCGTTTCTGCGTTGGGGCGCCGAGGGGCGAGGAGGACTGATGCGGGCGTTGGTGGGAGCAGATGATTGCTGCAGACGGTGGGTGGCTGGGTATGGGGTGTGCAACGGCGGCTTATAGGTGTGGGCTGCAGCGCCGATATTGTTCTGCAAGGCATGCGAGAGTACGTGTCTATGCTCCCTCGCCGTCCCCTCCGCCCACTGACCCCTCCCAGTCTTCATAGCCGAGATCACCTCGCGCGCCTTCATCGTCGCCGACTCGAACAAGCGCCGCACGCTCTGCCGCGCCGACATCGCCAAGGCCCTCTCCAAATCCGACCAGTTCGACTTCCTCATCGACATCGTCCCGCGCGACGAGGTGACGGGCGCGGGCAAGAAGGGGAAGCGCGAGGGGCAGGTACGTTCGGTTCCGTTCCGTCCCCGCCTCCCCGGGCTGTATGCTCTCCATATCCTCATTCCCGTCTTCTTGTGTCTATCTTCACCGGTATGCTAACCCCCGCCCACCAGAAACACCAGCAACAACAACAACAACAACAGCACCCCGACCCCGCCAACCCGAACGCCAACCCAAACGCCGCACAGGACCCCAGCTTGGGCGAGGGCGAGGGCGCCGTCGACCTCGAGCAGCTGCAAAACCTCTTGCAGGGTGCGCCGGGGGACGCGCCGATGTCGTGATCGCGGTGCACGCCGGGGTATCGAGGTTAGCAGGGGCTGCGTATATCGTACGCGTATATCTAGATCTGCCATCGTGTGCGCTGTCGAGGCTGATGTGGGCCGGGGTGTTTCGCGCAGGTCGCTGTTGTCCGGTTTGTTTGTATTATATACTCTGGGATGTGTGGCTCGGAACGTGTTTTCTTTGCTGGACGTCTGTTCATGGGCTTGGGCATTGCACCGGAGAAGCAAAACATCTGTTCGCTGTTCAGAGGTATCGGTGTCATGGATCTCGGGCGCTCCTATGCGTATACGCTGATTCCGATTCCTCTAGAATCGGTTTACTGTTCAGTAGTTGTATAGGGCTCTCTGGTGATCGAGAAAGCGAGCGCTTAACAGGGGTTATACCACTTACAGCCCGAATTACTCGAAATGTAATAGGAGCACTGTTCATAAATGGTAGGTGGACCGATCCAAATCTTACCGCCACCAACAAATAGGAACTATTACCCCTTATGTCGAGGATTACCGTTTGTGTGATGGAAATTAATTCCAAATATGTAGGGTGGCACTGTCACGCATCCCTCGGCTGCCTAATGGCAAGCATCCTGTTGCCTACGGTACAAGCTATCACAGTGTTGAAAACATGCTGTATACAGTACACTGACTCTACAGTAACACTGATCGAGGGTGGCGGAATGCCACCCTAGGGCAGCAAAGAAGGCACTTATTATCTATTCCTCTGATATATGTAACTGTAAAGCTTGACACCAAGTATCTGATGGATCGAAGACTCTGACCGCACCGGCAGGCCGCTAACTTGAGAGTTAGAAGTTGATATCATTCAGTATCATTCAGGTCAAGATGAAATAACTATGAGCATTGTTGATGCCGCGCAGCGCCCGGGAAGCAAGAAAGATTATTTCCCTGCTTGTAGAGTCCCTGCCGTGGGTTTACCATAGACTTTTATATGTGAGGAATCGGACCTGGCGTGCGCCGCAGCGCCGAATACTTCCCAAGTGTCGCATCTTATCTACGAGACGGGCTCGGACGGGAAGCACACAGGACTACCCCGTCACGCGTCCCCCCTCGTTCCCAACTTCTCCGCCCCACGCCGGTCGAACCCCATCAAGCATGACAGTGTGCACACTTTTCTACAGAGTCCAAGTACAAGTATACGTAGAACCCCTCGCGCCCTCCCCAAGACACCAACATCACCACCACCACCACCATGCCCGGCCTGTGCCCGCCGTTCACGGCGGAGACGGCGCACGCGAAGGTGAAGAAGGCGCAGGACCTGTGTAAGTACCCAACCCCTCTTCCATCGTTGTCTCATGACGGCCTCCTGCATGCCGAGCTTTGCTATACCGCCAAACTCTCACTGTGTGAACTGCAATATGTCCCATCTCTTAGAAGTACCTCTCTTCTGTACATGTGTTGTGGAACCCGATGTCATGCTGCTTGAAAGTCTGCGTTGGGAAGAATTTCGGGGCCTTAGGTGATGCAGCGGACCGCCTGCTACCGCTGCTTCTTCAGGACCGAGCGATTCTTGCTGGTGAGCAGGTCACCTGGTGCCGAACACTCCTACTTTTGGTGGCGGCATAGCATGGTTAGTAAACGCGACATGACATCTGGATTGCACGAGGGCCGCTCAGACGTGTCGGCGTGCGTATAAAAACTATGGGTCCCGACGTTAACGTTCGTCCGAGAGCACACCTGAGCCGTCATGGCGTCCTCTGGGTGGGCTTGGTTTTGTATCGCTGCTCTGCTGGGGTCTACATCCTTTACGTCTGCGAATGGTCGCCATTTCAGTTTGGTGTCTCGAGGGACGAACCTCGACGGATCACTCCCGGTCTACAAGGACCCCAACGCGCCCATTGAGGACAGAGTGAATGACCTACTGCCCCGCATGACCCTCGAGGAGAAGGTCGCGCAGCTGTGAGTCCCTCACCGTGGCCCCTCCGTGCACCTGGATATAATCTCGAGATGGGCAGAATACAAGGGGACCTGAATGGCTGGATGAACCTCACGGATCCCCTCGACGACACCCTCACATACAACGAGACCGGGCTGGAACTCATGATGGCCCAGAAGAGCGGCGCCATCTGGGGCGGCTACCCCATGCCGTGGGACAAGTTCGTCTACGGGATCACGGTTGGGCAAAAGTACCTCATGGAGAACACCACCCTCGGCATCCCCGCAATCGTCCAATCCGAAGGTGAGGACGCCCCGGGCCTCCCTCCCCGCATTCCCGCTCTGGGATGAACTCACCTCGTACCCGCACCCGCACCCTCAGGGTTACACGGCTTCACGAACAACGGCACGATCTGGCCGTCCCCGATCGGCTTGGCGGCCTCGTTCAACACCGGCCTGCTGAGGCAGGCAGCCGCGACCATCGCCGACGAAGCGGAGGGGCTGGGCGTCCACCAGATCTTCGCGCCCGTGCTCGACCTCAGCCGCGAGCTCCGCTGGGGGCGCGTGGAGGAGAACTTTGGAGAAGACCCGTTCTTGTGCGTGCGACATCCTCCCTGTCGCCCTCTCTCGCATGATTGCGATTGATTGGTCTACCCCAGGACGGGCGAGATGGGCTACGCGTTCGTGACCGGCCTGCAGTCCGGGCGGCGGCGCAACGCGAGCGCAACCGCCGTCGCGCGGATGGCCGCGACGTGCAAACATTTCGCCGCGTACGGGAGTCCACAGGGCGGATTGTGAGGACAACGCCTCATGTATATCTGCGTTACCAAGCTGACTTGAGTAGGAATATCGCCCAGGTGAGCGGAGGCGAGCGCGAGCTGCGGACGTCGTACCTCCGGCCGTTCAACCGTGCGTGCGTGGAGGCGCTGGGGATCATGACCGCGTACGCGAGCTACGACGGCGTCCCCGCCGTTGCGAACACGCGTACGTCTGAGACTCGCCTGTATACTCACCAACACCGACTGAGTACCATTAATCGACATCAGACCTCCTAACGGACATTGTGAGTGCACCAAACGTTTGGTGTGCAGCAGGATGATTATGGGCACGATCTAGCTCCGGGACGAGTGGGGCTACCAGTATCTCGTCACCACCGACGCGGGTTCGGTCGACCTGCTGATCACGACGCACGGCGTGTGCGAGACGCGCGCGTGCGCTGCGAAGCTCGCGCTCGAGAATGGGATACAGATGGAGATGGGCGGCGGGTCGTACACGTACCTCACGCTCCCAGGTGCGCATACCGCGCATGGTCGATGATGCGGAGTCGCTGACGGCTTCATCACATCGTAGATCAAGTGAGTAACGGGACGGTGGACGTGTCGTATATCGACGAGACCGTCAAGACTATCCTGCGCACCAAGTTCTCTCTCGGCCTCTTCGAGAGTGTGTACGCATCTCCGCCCCTGCTCGTGTAGCTCACCGACTGCGATCGCAGACCCCTACCCGTACCCGGACTACCTCTCCACCCTGCGCACCCCCGAGACCCGCGCCCTCCTGCACCAGATGGAGAGAGAGACGATCGTGCTCCTCGAGAACCGCAACAACACCCTGCCGCTGAGCACCGCCCTCTCCTCGGTCGCCCTCATCGGGCCCCAAGTCGCCCGCGTCTCCTTCGGCGACTACGTCTTCTTCAACGCCAGCAACAACGGCATCTCCCCGCTCGCCGGCTTCACCCAGTTCCTCGCCAACACCTCCGTGCGCATCAACTACGCCCAGGGCTGCGAGCTGTGGGCGGACGACCGCTCGGGCATCCCGGCAGCGGTGGAGGCGGCGGCGAAGAGCGACGCGGCCGTCGTGATGGTGGGCACGTGGAGTCTCGACCAGACGCGCCTGTGGGCGCCGGGCACGAACGCGACGACGGGCGAGCACGTGGACCTGGGCGACCTCGGCCTGGTGGGCGCGCAGCGCGCGCTGGTGCAGGCGGTCAAGGCCGCGGGGACGCCGACGGTGGTGGTGCTCGTGGGCGGGAAGCCCGTCGCGGAGCCGTGGATCCAGGAACGTGCGTCGTCTCCCAGGCGGCGGCCGCGGTGCGCTGCAGTACTGATTCGCGTTGGGGTGGGTGTGCAGACGCGGACGCGGTGGTCCAGCAGTTCTACCCCGGCGAGCTGGGCGGGCTCGCGCTCGCCGAGGTCGTGTTCGGCGCGGTCAGCCCGTCGGGTAGCGTGCCCTTCTGTTCTCCCCTCTTGTCTCCCTCTCACGGCGTTTGGAGCACAGGCAAGCTCCCGGTATCCTTCCCGCGGAGCGTGGGCACCACGCCCGTGTTCTACGACTACCTCAAGGGGAGCAGGCCCGTCGACGCGGGGATGGTCACGGATAACGGGACGCTCGTGTTCGGGCACCAGGTGAGCTGCGACGTGCGTGAAAGGGAAGAGAGGATGGCTGAGTGCGTTTGGCGTGTAGTATGTGCTGGACTCGCCCGTGCCGCTGTGGAGTTTCGGGCACGGGCTGAGTTATACGACGTTTAACTAGTAAGTCATTGTGTGTTCTCGTCCTCTTTCAGCTTCCTTCAACCAAACCCAAAACCAAACTCCAAGTCATTCCTGCCGCACGGGTGGAAGCTGACCTGCGCAAACCTTTACATGTACCCAGCTCGGACCTCGAGTTGTCCAGCCCCACGATCGGCGCATCGGAGAACTTCACCGTATCGGTGACGGTGGCGAACACGGGAGATATGGACGGGCAGGAGGTCGTGCAGGTACGTTCCTTCTCCCCGCGCTCTTTCCTGCCTTCATCCCCTCCTTGCATCACGTCTGAGCGCTGATGGGTCGCTGGTAGGTGTACGTGACGGACCTCTTCAGCACGGTCGTGACGCCGAACCAGGTGCTCGTCGGGTTCGCGAAGGTGGACGTTGCGTGCGTACCCTTCTCCTTCCCTCCCCATTTCCTCTGCCCTCCCCCGCTCCCCCCCCCCCCGCCCCCACTCTCCCCCGCCCCCCTCCCTGCCTCTCGCACACGTCACTTTCACCCACTCTTGCTTTCGCCCGCTCACATACTACACCGCGACGCGGCTGCTCACCCCCCCTCGGCAGCGCGGGCGCCGCGCAGCGCGTCGCGATCCCCGTGGACGCGTCCCAGCTCGCGCTGTGGGGCCTCGCGAACGCGTGGGTCGTCGAGCCCGGCGCGTTCGCGGTGAAGGTCGGCACGAGCGACGAGGTGTATCTGGACGCGACGCTGGAGGTGGTGTGATCGGGCTGCGGGGGATCCTATGTGCGTGGGTCTAGGTGGCCCCTCACGTCTGTTGAGTGGGGAGTGTGGTGGTGAGTGCGCTGCAGGGAAAAGAGCGTACTCGGTGGTGGACATCCGAATCTGGGCCGTCTGCCGTCCACCTTTGAACTTGAATTCATGGAGAAACTTCGACAGACTCATATGTATGCACGCTTAAGGGACTGCCTCGGACTGATTGAAGATAGACGAAGGATAAATTGAGCAGAAGAGATACAAGCACATCATACATCGTACACCCTACGTCATACGTCATCACTTGCGGTGCGCGACGACACGCCCGCCGAGGACCATCGCGCGCTGCGCGTCCGCGGGGCTCCAGAAGATGTCCTCCACGCGCGCGGGGTATATCCGCCCCTCCGCCCTCCCTTCCGCCTCGTCAACATCCATGTCCATATCCGCAGTGAGATCCACCGCGCGCAGACGCAGCTCCGCGCGGGTGAGCAAGAACGGCCTGGGCTCGCTGGGCGGCGGGGACGAGGCGGCGGGGGAGAAGGCCGCGTAGACCTCCGCGAGGAGCGCGTTGCTCGGGGCGTACGCGTACTCGTCGAAGGAGGAGGAGGAGGGGAGGACGCCGAGCCCCGTGAACGCGAGGCCGGAGCCGTCGGGCTTGGTGAGGCCGGCGAGGCCGAGGCCGAGGCCGGCGATGCCCTGCGCGTGGCTGGAGGTGGCGGCGGCCGGGGCGGGGAAGACGGCGCGCGGGGGCGTGACGGGCGTGAGGAGCCCGCCGAGGGAGGCGGTGCTTGCTGAGGTGGAGGGCGAGGGGGAGTAGGAGTCCACGTCGAAGTAGGAAGGGGAGTGTTGGGAGAAGCGCGGGGAGGGGGAGAAGGGCTGCTGGGGGATGCGCGGGGTGGGGGGTATGCTGCCGCCGGCCGCGGAGGGGGACGAGAGGCGGAGGGAGGCCATGCTCGTGAGGACGGTGGCGGTGGTGGTGTAAAAGGCCGACATTGCGTTGCGTTGTAGTGTGTTGTGGTGGCTTGCTAGTGGTATTGCGTGGTGTGTATTGATTGGTACAACGAACCAGTCGATGTATACGTGTTGGCTTGATATCTAGTGTGGGCTTGAAGACGAGAGGGGAGCAAGTGAGAGTGCGCTGATGAGCCCTACGAGCATCGCAGGCGGGCTTATATGCGCCAGCGGCGCGGCTGTCTCTGAGGCTGACCGGGCGCGGCGGTTCCAGACATCCAGGCGGGATTGCAATTCCCGCCAGGCAGCCGCGCGCTGGCTGGGGGGCATTGCAATCCCGCCTGGCGGCTGGCGCTGGGCACACGGGGCGCTGCGGGGGGCGAGCGAGGCGAAGGCGGACGAAGGGTGATCGTGTGGGACAAGAGCGGGAGCAAAGTATTTTCGCTACTTTAACTTCGCTGTTACGTATCTACAATTACACGTTTGGTAATTACACCAGTACTGTAATAAATAATGTATTTTAATGGCACGACCCTATGCCATTGCCATGGTCAGTACCGAGGAGCAATTCATGACTCTGAGGACATGCGAGGACCTGCAGATTCCTTCATGTTCTGCGAGTGCTGCTACTGTACATGTCCACAGGGTCCGAATCAAAGCTGCGACTCGCTGTTCGCTGGCAATGTCTCCTGGAAGGACCGTGCCCCGACTATAGGATGTTACATATAGCAGCAGCGAGCCATGCCATAATCCCTCCCTCTATGCTGGGAACCGAGGTAAAGATAATGCGTGCACAACGCCGCGGATTCCAGTGAATATCCGGTTTTGCCCTTGAGCGCCGACCATGCACTGGACGGGTACCGGGCTGATTTTTGTCTCCAGCTGGACTGTGCATCACGGCCATTTCAGCCCAATCCCTGGAGGAATAAATCCGGATGACTCTGTTCCTGTTGCACAAGGACCCATATACCGAGGACAGAATCACGACCTCCTTCAACCCCGCACGACCCTCGAGGAGGAAGTCGCGCAGATGTGAGTTCACCCGCAATATTCCACGCCATATCTCATCTTACATTGTACAGCGTCCACGCCGACCTGAGCGGCTGGATGAACCTCGCCGACCCGCTGCATGAACCGCGGCGGGATCTACGGCAGCTACCTCGTGCCCTGGACCCACACTGCCACCCAAGGCACTCCATCCCATCCCTCAAACCCATTCCGCGACACCGGGATCGCGGACGGGGTTCCACGGGGCGCGTCGACGGCGGACGTACGGGCGGATGGATGCCTGCGCCCACGCATGTCCGCGGGGTGGCTGGTTCGCACCCCCCCCCCTCCCGCCGCGCCCGCTTGTTGATACTTATGTAGGACCATCGCGCCGTCATAGGCGGCTGCGGTACCTAGCGGGTGTGTCGCGGCGCGTACACGTAGGTCTGTGTTCACGCCGTGAATCGGTGGATGCCGCTCGGAATGAAGATAACGATGCCACTGACACCGACATGATGTATGTACCACGGTAATCCAGACCTACTTGTGGATATCGTGAGTGCTTAACTGTTTCGTTCCGAGTTCTGTGGTCCAGCGAGCGAGGGGGGATAGGAAGTGTGGCTGATACCGATGCTAACAGCTTCGCGACGAGTGGGATGCGAGTACCTTGCGATCACCGCCGCTGGCTCGGTCGGTCTGCTGGTCAGCAGCGTACGCGGCGAAGCTGGCGGTGGCGAACGGAGTCTGGAGGCGGGTCGTGTACATGCGTACGTACTTGACGCGCGCAGGCGGGCTGTGAACGGAGGAACTCGCCGTTTGGAGTCCTGCAATGGACGACGCGGCGGTGTTTGGTGGATCGAGTCAATAACGGGCGGTGGACGCCGACGAGACCGTGGGGACTGCCTTGCGCACGAAATTCGCGCGCGGGCTGGTCGAGAGCGGGTCTGCTGTCTCGCATTCGGAGTTCCGTCTCTGTTTACCACCTTTACAGCTTCGTATGCAGACCCATGCCCTTACCCGGACTACCGCGCTGCACCTCTCTGCGCACCGGGCCCTCCTGCACCGAATGGAGAGAGACTTTCGTCCTCCTTGGGAACCACAACAGCACCCTGCCGCTGCACCTCCTCCCTCTCCTCGATGCCCCATCGGCCCCAAGTCCCCCGCGTCTCCTTCGGGGACTACGTCTTCCTCACTGCCAGCCTGTCCGGCATCCCCCCTGGAGGGCTTCGCCCAGTTCCTCTCCAGCACGTCCGCGCACATCGACTACGCGGAGGGCTGCAGGCTGTGGTCGACGACCTCTCGGGGGTCCCCGCGGCGATGTGGCGATCGTGATGGTGGGACGTGGAGCTGCTCTGGGAGGACGGGACGAACCCGAGGGCGGGCGAGCCTGCGGATTTGAGCGACTCGGGGCGGGTGGGTGACGGCGGTGGTGGTGTTTGGTAGCGGCAAGCCCGTCGCGGAGCCGTGGATACAAGAACGTAAGCGCGTAGCCTTGTGTTGGTGTTGTTGTTGTTGTTGTAGTGAATTCTTCCTGATCTGTGTGCTGGCCGGCCGGGCAGAGATTCGGCAGTTCTCTTCCGGGAGCTGGGCGGTCGAGTCCGGGATGATTACAGACGACGGAACACTTGCATCTGGGCACCAGGTTAGCATCCTTTGCCCAGTGCGTGTCTGACGCAAAATGACTGAGCGAGTGGCCGGATTTGTGAGCATGTCCTGGACACTCGCGTGCCTGTGTGGAACTTCGGCCATGGCCTCAGCTGCGCGACCTTCAATTAGTGAATTCACAATTCGTCTCTTTCCTTCGGCGCTGACGACAGGGCCTTGAAGCACGGATCTGGGCCAAGTCCTAGCATAGGGACCTCTGGTAATTGCAATGTATCGGTCACTGTATATAACACCGGGCCGGCCGACGGCAAGGAGGTTATTCAGGTATCATACTATATCCCTCAGGAGTGCGTCCTCGTTGGCTGACTCGGTGATTTGTGTGAGGTGTACACGACGGACCTCTTCAGCTCTGTCGTCACGCCGAACCAGAATGCTTGTTGGTTCCCAGAGAGTCGGTATCCCATATGTGGACTCTTTGATAGCTCCACAGGCGCGGCTCATCGCATTCTTCTGTAGGGTCACGATGCGTCTCCATGGAAGTGCAGGCTTCCCAGCTTGGGTTGTGGTCGCTCAGCAATTCCTGGGTTGTCGAACCCGGTCATTTCACGGTGAGAGTTGAGACTAGCGATCATACGTACCTGGAAATAACGCTCACTGTGGTATTAAGTCTAAACCACTTCCCCTAGCATGATCCCGTGTGCACATTTCCCCGGTTTGTCATCACCTTGGACAATAGCGGGCACGCGCTGTACCGGGTCTTGTCCATAGCTCTATGGTTGTACTGCAATACAGAATATTAGCGCCTCAAGCCTGTTCTAGCTTCTCTCACAATAGAGAGTATTTGCAGGAGGCGAAGTCAACTTTAGCTATCTGATCTGACACGAGATCTTAGGCGAAGTGAAAACAACAGTGGTGCGCGTCGGGGCCATTCGCGGAAAAAGCTGGGGATGCAGTGGAAACTTTGACACAGTATATTACCCTATATGTATGTAGGTATACACCGAATGCGAACGGGTAGGTGGCCATGGTGCAGAATATCATATTTTTGGAGTTTGTGGTGCATTCGCATTATCCGAAGTGGGCTGTCTGCTAAGCGGAAAAAGTGTCCACTTCGCCTCCTGCAAATACTCTCTAATGCCGGAAATTTGTGGCTTAGAACAGCGAGTTCAATATTGATTTCGCAATGCGACTTCATTACGAGAGCTTTTATTACGTAAGTTATAACTGAATAAATAACAGGAAAGTAACAGGTTCGTCCCGTACCAGTAACCTCATGTGAATCTCAGCAACCGCGTCCTTCCAGTCGCAATAACCCTTAGACGTCCCAGCCTCTACCTTTGCGTGCCGTTATGTTGGGATCCGACGGTGATTTGACAGCCTCACCTGTGCGCGATATTACTATTAGGCACGTGCGGGACACGGTCAGATGACCATCGCAATTTATAGCCATCGGCTTAGACTCGTACGGCGCTCGTACACCCACTCGCCATGTCTGCGTACTGGCGTACATTCACAGTGCTAGTGGCATCTTTCGCGCTTGACATACGAGCTGTATCATCAAGGCAAGCTCCAGCAGCTTTCAGCAATCCGGAAAGCAGCGCGGTCGATTACGTGGATCCGTGAGTATTCACCTTGTAATACTTTCTGAGGTTGCATTGCCTTTGCATGCACCACTGGCTCAAGTGAGTTAGGCAGGGAATTGCGACGGTACTGAGCTCCATCGATGGTCTCAGCATATGGCATTTGCCGTCTCCCATGGCTGTTGACCGCAACGGAGACCAGCAACTCGGGTTCCATTCACGTCTCACTGCTGTCAGTTCGCTGACAGCAGTGCATGCGGTTCAATACATGGGGGCTGTGATAGCAGTCCGTTAGCCCTTGTTTATCCCGCTAGTTCTGACATCTGGTCGTCCGCTCTCGCGGGAAGTGTGGGTGCCTGTAAATCTCCTCCTTGTCTACGGTTCAGGTACTGTGATTGCCACGGCGGCTGCATCACGGCAGCGGTCGGCACTTTGCCCTTGCAGCGCGTTCCCTGTCCGTGCTTAACTCTTTGAACGCCGGTATCGCGCTCTTCTTACCATTCTACTCCGCGAGGGACGTTTCATTACCGCGCGCCGCGTTGCTGGAAGGTTCGGATCCTTGGATTTCTCCGCCGGGGTTTATGGCGAACCCGGGGTCAAACATAGGAATGTGATATGGTTACTTTGCCAGCATCTATGCATTGCATTCTGATGCTTCCAGATGCCCCTATTGCGAGCATACGGCCCTAGGTCTATCCGACCGTGAGAGGCCGTGTGGACAAGATGGACATTTACCCTCAGCTCTCCCTCTGTGCTTTCCCTGAAAGTAAGCGTTTCAATTCAAAACTCACACCGTCATACAGACTCATCGGCAATGGCGGCGACTCACCCAATGGCTCCGGCGGCATGATCCCATCCACCGCTCCCCCCTTTGGGATGACGCGGTGGGTTGCGCAGACACGCCAGAACTACGTCTCGGTTACCCCGTACAACTATACAGACTCGAACATCCATGGCTTCCAAGGAACGCACCAGCCGGCGATTTGGATGGGAGAGAGCGGCCAGGTCGTCATCGTTCCTGGCGTGGGAGATGTAAAGCCTGCTTTCGAGGACAGAGGAATGCCCTTCAGTCACGACAAGGAAGTGATAACACCGAGCTATTATAGCGTTTATCTGGATGCTCCTGGAGGCGGATCTATACTAGCTGAACAAAGCGCCAGTAGGTCCACCCCCTGTCGCGCGAGTACACATAATATACTCAACGCCTTGCAGCCTCCCGCGTGGGACATCTCAGGTTCACCTTTGAGAACACCGATACTCCGTATGTTCTCATCGAGGCCACTCGCGCGTCCGTCATGGGCTCCGCCGATCCATCCAATGTAACATATCCATCCGGCTCAGTGAGCATCGATCCCTCTGCTCGCGAGATCTGTGGCAGGAACCCAGAGCGTCAGGATTTCATCATTGGACCTAACCCTGCCCCTTCTTTTGCGGGATATTTCTGCGCTCGATTCAGCGTGCCGTTCGAGTCTTACGGTACAGCCAATAACAGCGACGGTCAGCTGTTCCAAGGGGAAAATGAGAGGAACGGCACGCAGCTGAGCGGCTATGCCATTCTTCAGCGAGGAACGAGCATGGTAGACGTCAGGGTTGGGGTGTCGTTTATATCCATCGACCAGGCAAGAAAGAATTTGGAAACTGAGATCCCAGATGGTACGAGTCTTGAACAGACGGCGAAGGCGGTTAGAGAGGCGTGGGCAGAGAAGCTCGATAGAATAACGGTGGAAGGCGGCAGTATCGAGAACAAGCTCGTCTTTTACACAGCGGTCTATCATACCTTGCAGGTGGGATATCCCCAGTGCTCCCTCCTCTCGTGTCATGACTGATGCATAGGCTTACGGTACAGTATCCGTACGAGCAACATGAAGACGGCAAGTATTACTCGGGATATGATGATGCAGTCCATGAAGGCGAATCATACACTGGCTACTCGATATGGGTAGGTGAATGTATCCCCGCCCGTGAGATCATTGTTCTGATAACATATCTACGTCTTCTCAGGACACATTCCGAGCCCAGTGGGCCTGGACAATACTGTTTGCTCCCGAGCGGGTGAACGGCATGGTACAGAGTATGCTGCAAGACTACAGGGAGGTAAATGCTGCCCTAAATCCACTTCGAATCGTCTAGTGAAGCCTTCGTGTTGATCTAGGGTGGATGGCTTCCTATGTGGAAGAATATCGTCGGTAAGACACCCACTCTAGCCTAAGCCAACCATGTATCCATAGATTTTTTCCCGTCTTGTAGAAACAAATATCATGGTACGTCATTGGAAAGGAAGGTCGCCTTCTATCACGTTATTGACTCACGCTGCATGAAGGTTGGCACCCACGCGGATTCTTTGGTCGCCGAAGCGGTCCTCAAAGGATTCACCGGCTTCGACCTTGAGACGGCATGGGAGGCAGTATATAAGGATGCCACAGTCCCTCCTGTCAACGACTGGAATACCTCGTACGTTGCTGGGCTTATCATTGTCGTTTCGTGCTGACCTCCTTTTTTAGATATTTCGATCGGGAGGAAGTACGTGCGCTGCCTGGCACTCGAATCTGCAATGTCTCATCAATTCGCTACGTCTACAGAACGTCGGCTATGAAGTTCGAGCCGGATTGTCCTCCGTCTACGATGTTCAGGGTTGGGTTGCCTCTGATGTCCACTCTGAGGCAGGGTCCCGGACCTTGGACTATGCGTGTAAGCCTATTCCATACTAAGATCATTTCGCCTCTAATCGTGCATCCAGACGACGACTACGCTGTTTCCGTCCTGGCATCTTTGTTGAATAAGACATCTGAGGCATCCTTCTTTCTGAATCGGTCGCTGACTACCCCGTTCTCCATCTTCAATTCAACCACTGGTTTTATGGAGGCACGCAATGCCAACGGTTCCGGCGCCGGTCAGGATGCAGGTTGGACCGAAGGCAATATGTGGGCGTATACGTTCGACGTCGTGCAGGATGTGGAAGGTCTCGTTAAAAGACGGGGAGGAAACATAAGCTTTATTGACTTCCTGGATGAACACTTTGATGGTGGTGAGCAGAACAGTCTCCAAGGCTGATCAGTAATCTGATGAACGCTAAGGCCATAATGATCATACGAACGAGGTACGTCAGAAGTCACCGTTAGAGTCTGCAAGGATGATCAGTGTCGCAGCCTTCCCACCATATTCCATATCTATACGCCTTGGCTGGGGCGGCTTCCAAGTCACAAGAGCGCATTCGTTCTATCGCTCAAGAGTATTACAATTCGTCCGTAAATGGCCTTGCAGGTGTGAGTACAGAACACTTATCCACAAGGAATATGAAGTAAGCGATCAGACTATGTCTTGTAGAATGAAGACTGTGGGCAAATGAGCGCGTGGTACATATTCAGTGCCCTGGGATTCTATCCAGTTGATCCCGTATCGGGCTTCTACGTCGTGGGAGCGTAAGTCGAATCAGTAGATCATTCGTAGTCTTCCGCTCACATCGTCCTTATGCGTGGATAGCCCTTTCTCTGACAAAGTCGTGATAGAACTGCCTGGGATTCGGAAGTCACTAATTGTTGCCTCCCCTGGAGCACCCACCTGCCCATACGTCCGATCTCTGACGGTAGACGGGGCATCTATCACAACGCCAATTATCCATCATTCCCAAATATCCCAAGGAAGTATGGTCGAGTTTGGCATGAGCCAGCAACCCGAGAGTTGGGCTTCTACGACATTGGTGAGTGGCTAAGGTTGTGCCCCGAGACCATAGTTTCAGAGGGTCTGATTAGATCTCTATCGAATCTGGAACAAACATGGCTGTTCACGAAGAACTCTAGCCAGTTAGTGCTTCGGTAAGGCTATGCTCTGCTTCCGTGATGGGGTTCTCAAATAGTAGCTTCGCACTCCGCGGACTTTCCAGCTCGGGATCTCATTGGAGGACTGCGTATGCGTATCGACAGGGGCCTCTGCTTGGTTCACATCTACGCTCGCCGGTCATGTTCGTCTTTATGCTCTATTGCATCTCATATACTGCGCTAGACGTTCTCGCGTACGATGTTTGGCTTCTGGCTTGTGCTCGACTTCAGCTTCAGAACCCATCGGTGAGTGTGGCGGCGCAAGTGCGGTAGCCTTAGAGTCATTCTCCTCACCACGGTGACCGGGATCGTGTCCGTTCTGCGTGATCATGTGGTGGATACCTGCTTAAGTGACTTATGTACCCTCCCAATACCCCGATCAGAGAGTAGTCATGAGATTTGTATGCTCATGCCTCCTTCTCGTAGGCTATTGGGAGTGTATGTGTACTCCTTGAATATAGCCACGCTCGGAGCAGAATCAGCAGAATCAGTATCAACATCTCAAGAGCTTCCGACGAAGATGAACTCTGTCACGGTTGCTGATTATCAGTCCAGTGTGGTAACGCTGTCACTCATTGTAGATGGAAGCCTCAGCACGGTAGACATCCGGCCAAACAAAGTCGGCTACCCAGGCCCCATGGTTCTCATGGTCGCGGACGTCTCACGTTCACCTCTAGTCGTGCCCAGTACTCAACCATCGCAGCTGGATGGATAATCGCAGGATTTTGGTTGACGATGGGGATGTCGCTCTGACCTGGGCTGGCGAGTGGATGATGCTGGATAACCAGACGTCATCGTCAACTCTCTTCGGCACAATGCATATGGCGCAGGCGTCCAATGCACACATGAGTTTCACTTTCAATGGTACGTACTGGAATCCGTATTTTGCATGAAATTGCTCGTCATGTTTTTTGGAACGGAAGGTACCTGGGTAGCTGTTTACGGCGTTGTCTTTGATACGGACCAGCAACCTACTTCCACCTATAGCGTCGACCAGGTCCAGTCAACGTTCACCCCGCCGAACCCCTCCGGACCCACCCAATATAACCAAGTCTTTTTCCAAACATCCCTAGCAGACGGTGTACAGCATAAGCTCATAGTCACTGCTTCAAATGGGTCCCAGGAGAGCCCGTTCATGATTGACTACATCTTATACACGCCTTCGACGTCAGCCAAGATGTCTCCTGCACTCACGTCCCCTACAGTCACTCCCACACCTCAGTCGATGACGCCTATGTTGGGCGCCATCCTTGGGGGTCTCATTGGAGGAATAGCAGTCATCCTTATCGGCACGCTCTTCGGGATCTGGATTTACAGAAGACGCAGGAGGCATTGGCACAACACAACTGGTGGACCAGGTTAGTCCTGCCCAATCGTGCCACTAGACTGGGACTAATCAACCGACATCAGATATGGGCGCCATGAAGCGGCTGCGTCTAGGGCAAATTATACCGTATACTGTAGTTCCCGACGAGCTAGAGGCACCCTTGAGTCCACGGCGTCGAAACAGTGGGGCAGCTGGGCGGAGACTGCTTTCGTCATTTTCACGCCAGAAACGAAGATCACAGGGTTCCAGTCAAGCTCGAGTTGCCGAACCAACATCACCCATCCGCACCACGAGGCGTCCTACTAGTAGACTCACCACCGAAACCACGGCGTCGACGCTTGTTGCACTTGACGGAGGCGACGAAGGGGAGGACACTGGAGGGGAAAGCGATACTAGGGAACCTCCTCGGCGTAGTAGTAGTCACACGAAGCACAGACGCGCCGATCCAAGCTCTTGGCCGCCTCCCCTCCCCCCTCTACCGCCTCAAGTTATTACACTAAGCCCGAGAATTATTCCTGTTGATCAGCCCACTCCGCCCCCCACGTATCAACCATGACGGCCAGTATACTCCAGGCATCCAAGTTCGAACCGGAGGAGCTACCCTTCTATTATTGCCCGTATCTAAATCTGTAGTGACACTTCTGGACAGTGTTTCCTCACCACTTTCTTTCATACACAACCTCGAGTACGTCATTCGTTCTAACTTATGATTAAATCATCCATCTGTGCGACCTGGAGTACTAGATAGTGTATTGGATTACATTACATTATAAATTTCGTTCGAGGCGTGGTATGAGCTATGTCCGCGCGGGGATTCAGTTGAGGAAGCAGCAGAGTGTAAGCTCCGCATTCAACGGTTACGCCAGCGCCTGTGAAGCGCCGGCGACTTGTTTAAAAGGCTGCGTGCCTGATCCTCCACGTCTAGTAAGGCAACAATGAAATATAATTGCACCGTGATGTTCCAGTCGTTTGTCAGAGTGGAGATGACCAGGTTTCAACCAACGATGGTGATGGGAAGTACCAGCCTGAGATTAGGTCGTATCGTGCGGTTGACCGACGGAGTAAGCAGAGGTATCCGAGTGCCAGTGGCGAGAAAGCCAAGCTCAAAGTTGCGCGGTGAGCGTGTTCATTCAAAGGCGGAAGCACCAAGGCTTCTGCAAAACAGCTTCACAGCCATCGACTGCTTAAGCCGGCGACGTAAGAATTGAGTCTAATCACCGTACCTTCAGCGTGTTCATACCGCGGATTGAGACCCAGGGTGAATTACTCTCAAGTCATTGTGTGCTCGAAGTCTCACCACCTTTGAGTTCGTCTGGGGATGGGCATAGATATAAACGCCTGTTGCATTGAACGACAAGAATGAATCAATTCGACTATAACACAGCGTTGCGCAAGGAGATGACGAGATGAGCCGAGATCTGGTAGACCGAGTGTACAGCAATACGACAAAGCAGGGAGCTACAAAACTAGAGCGTGTGCTGGGCGATAATGACAAGATAAATATAAGGGTTTCGGCGATGAGAACAGCGAGTCATATGACACGACGTACCACTTACGTACAACATTGACAACATATGAATACAAATGAGCGGAGACTCGGACCCAGCAGCTACACGCGTCCAGGGCAATTCGGCTGCCCCGCCGAGCGCATAACGCCCAAGAAGCAAGAAAGTATGACAGCCTGAATAGAGGCAAGAGCATGAAAGAGTTCATATCATTGCAGCCACGAGGAGAAGCTGTGACGCTATACGGCCCATGGAGATTGACGAGCACGTTCGCACGGCGAGACCCAGTTATTCAATGGAATTCCCAGACCTCGATGCGGGCGACATATGCCCGAAGGACGACCCAGATGAACTGCACGGAGACGGAGACCTCGACATGCTTGCCAATGCAGTGCGAGCAAAGCTCACTCGTGACTGAGCTTGCGGCTGTGATTGTGCTCGGGTGTATGACGTCGAGTACGCATGGCAAGGGTTCTCATCATGGTCCTGAGCGTCATAAGTGCCACTCTCCTTGAAGGCTACGCGGTGGAAAGGGGGAGATGATATGAAAGAACATGGCGACGTGGGGATGTGGGTGCCTTCTTCGTCTTCCATTTCGCCTTCGGAGCGCATGTGGTCGTCTTCGGACTCGGGCTCGGTACCTGTATCCGCGGTCAACGAGGCTTCGATCTCGTCCTCGTCGTGGTGGGATGGGCGGATATGAGGTAAAGGCTCGATGCCATAACCAGGGAACTGTACCGGCGTCCCAGGCTGCGAAGCAGCTCGTACCGCCTTCGCACGTTGGGAAGTGATGTGGTTCCGGAAATGGCGGCGCATATTGGAATTCACATTAAATAGCCTGCCACAACCCTCCCAGTGGCACTTGAACGCTACGTTGAATAAATCAATACGTTAGGAAATGGGTGTCAGGACTCATTGGTTCTACACGTACGTTTGACGCCAGTGTGTGTCGTCTCGTGTATCTTGAGACTGCTGGGCCTGTTAAACCGCTTGAGGCAAATACGGCAGGTATGTTTCCTCGGGCCATGTCTCGAGGCAGGTTCGGGGTCGGGCTCAGGGGAGAAAGCTAAAGGATGGAACGACGAGGACGAAGATAAGTCAAAGGTGTACGTGTACGTCCCTGACGGTGTGCCCCTGGACGGGCCAGGCGACTGACGAGAGTACGCTGAGGGGTAATCGCCATGAGAGGGCTCCGTGGCGGGATCTACGTCAGCTGGTCCAGCGTCGCGAGATTCATTCCTCTCATCGACGGCGACGAGCATGCGATACCTCTTCTCCGGCCTCGGCGTCGTCGGGGCTGGTGGTTGTACTGCCACACGAAAAGAAGGAGCAGCCTTAGCGATGGCCATAGACGCACAGGGAGTGACGGCGACTGGATTCTGATGAGACACGAGATCCTGCAGGTTCGTGCTAGATGCGACATGCTCGAGGGACGAAGTGGCAGGGTCCGTACGCAACACGGTAAAACTGTACGCAGCCTCCTTCCGCGAGTGAGTCACCCTGGGCCTCGATGGCTGCGGCAGGATATGCCGCGGACGAGTGCTGACTGGAAAAGAGCCACAAGGCTTTGGAGAGACTTGCAATTCAGAATAATGCAGTCTTGACTGCGTGCCGGCGTCTCTCGCGGATATTTGCTGACCCCGTTTATGCGATCCCGAGGCCACCGGAGTTTCGCAGGAAGATGCACCTTCCGTGAAGCTGGGGTGCGTATTATTCCATCCGATGCGCTGGTCTCCAGGGAACTGGAAAGCACGACTCCGCGGAGTGGAGTTCTGTGTTTCTGGTGATGAATCTGAGCGATTTCTAGGGCTCGGTGATGGCAGGCATTGCTCTTAGCACGAGTTCGCATGCATCCATCAGCGAAGGTAGGAAAAAATGCAGAAGCCACTAACCTGGAAATAATTCTCGTATACTAGGTAGCGACGTCCGAGAACTGCTATTATTGCCACTAATAGAAGGCAACATCATAACAGTAAGCAAGCGTCAGAGGGGTACAACCAGAGTTTCCCCGCAATCGCTCAGCGTGCTCCTCTTATATATGTAAATAGATCAGCAGAACGACTGCTCGATGCAGGAAGAAGGCGTCTTTACACAGGGGAAGGAGAGGCTCTGCGAGACGGGATATACGAAGAACGCCGACTTGCTAAGACTGAAAAGCACAGGCGCCTGCAATGGAAAGATCAGAGGTGGGATCACCGGAACAGTGATATAAGATGACTAGGCGATGGAGGATGACGGCGAGAGGGGGGAAAGAGATGCACATCTACAAGGGAGCGACGCTTATAAACACTGCCACTAAGTACGCACCGCGTACGCAGAGGGCCATATGATCCACGGGCGCAGATTAAAGAACGCAGACATTGCCTAGCTTGACCATCCAATGGCTGTATTTAAGAAGGCAGACAGCCTCGCGTTGCTGTCTCGGACCGAGCCCGAGCGTCACGAACATGGCAAAACGATCCATAACGGGAGCGCGAATCCAACGAGGATCCGGTTCCCTTTGGACCTACACCACAGCACTCCCTTATAAGGCCCTAAGATTAACCCACACACCTGATTAAGGTACCGACACGGCATAGTTGACGTTATGCAGCGCTAGTCTGCTGGAAGTTCCAACAATAGCATCCAGATATAACCCGCTGGCAGCTTGGCCGACTACACGGAACCAGAGTGGTGCCGTTTGTCTAGGTGCGTCGTAGTGTCAGGCAACCGCTGTTCGACATGGCAGCAGAATAATAAGGCGCGGTTTCAAATGCAGGACTGTATCAGGGAGAGATAGGTATATCATCCGACGTGGTGTTGTAGAAGCTATCGCGGCAGACGCGGCAACGCGCAGTGAGAATGCTATGAGCTCCGGGAGGAACTAGTAGAGCGGCAATTGAAGACGCATGTGGACGTACAGCGGCACAGTACTGGGTGATTGAGCGACTGAGAATCGTAACCAGAATCTCGACTGGTTTGACCAGCATTGCAAATGCGTTACCTTCCACGATAGTTTTCTGGGGACTGCGATCCAGGAAACCGCGCAAACACGAGGGCATAGCCTCGAAAGGTTAGCGCCTTGCAATTGCGCGCATCTTTCTTTTCGGAGGGAGTTCGCAAGCCGGAGAGAGATGGAACCATGATTGGATATGGCGGAAGCAGAAAGGATACGCTGCCGGCGGGCTCCGATGCCCATCAGTTGGGTCGGAGACCCGGCTTTTCGTACTCAGCGAACCGGCCGACAGTGGCTGCTAATGTGGACCGAGGTGTTGCTTTCTCTACTTATAAGTATACGTACCGCTTGCAGTTTCCACTCGGATCCTATCTACACTTCATCGGGCTCGAACCGGACAGCTTACATAGGGCAATGGTCCAATGCTAGTGAGTGGGTGTATACTCTCTCTCATCAAGGCTCCATGTTGTCAGCAGTGTTGGGGTCGAAGTAAGATTAATGCCGAACTATTTGTCAGTTTTCAAAGTGTTCACAACATCAGATTGCCGGCGGAGCCATAGAGAAATGAGCGCATTGCACGGGACGACTGAGACCCTGTGGCCAATTGTCTCCTCTATCATACCTTCTAACGATGCTGCGCTGGAACCGGTCGCTGAAGAATATCATCTTCTCAAGAGCCCTATGGTACCACGGGTTGTAGTCTGGGCCAGCGGCCCAGCGCTCTGCAGTCACTAGGTTCTCGCGATGTTGCGCGATTCATCTGGTTCAATCCAAATTGATAGTACACCGCTCTGAGATCTTCGGGTACGGCTGTGACCCTCGATTGCTAGACATATGTCCCAGACTAGCGGGCCTTGCAAGGCATACTTCGTGATGTGGGTAAATCACCGCCCATTCGAGTCTCTCTGGCATAGTGACATGTCCTTCTACCCGTAGTAGCCTCAGGCCATATATTATTAGGCTGGATCCATTATGATCGGCACAGCAGTGGCAGCCACAAGCCTGATCTTATCTCCCGCCTCAACCGAATCACCCAAAATGCGGAATAAAGGGACAGGGCTCAGCAAGGTTCAGGTTAAGTTAATCCTGACGACATCCACGGTTTCTGTGCCTCTCCCGGCGCTGATAGAGATGTTGGCTAACACCTAGCTGAAATCTAACGGACCGCAACTTTGCCGTTTCTAGGTCCATGCGCCTGTGCCGAGGCTACACCTTCACAATCGTTCCATTATTAGAGAGGGACCCGTCACACCCCGTAACAGACACCGCATACACCCACGGGTTGTCGAGATATCTCTACGTCACGCTTGCTTGTAGCTCCAGGGTGAATTCGGCTATCAGTCTCGGAAGCCCGCTGTAGGCCAGCTCCCTGTATATCCTATCTCAATCGGCGGGCACGTACGCTGGTTAATTGACAGGTCAGTTCCATCTCATAACACGGGCGCAGGGATCCTGGTACCCCACTGGTTGTACTCAGCCACGACCCGATGTCAGCGGCCGAGCGTCGGACATCGGGCATAAAAGCATCGATCGCAGCCTCTACTTGCGCGCGGCTCTAGATCTTTCCCTTCGGTCGCATCAAGCCAAAGGACGACGGATTCTGTAGGGTATATGTGTAAAGGTACAGGGTACATCCGCTTTTGTCGTTTCGATATTGTCTGGTGGCCGTGATGGATACTCTGACCAACAGATGCAATGCTGATGAATCACTTCATCCTTCTAAGTTGGAGAAGCCTTTTGACATGGTCTCGGATTTCGCCGCACGCGGGACTGTACTGCCATGGAGGGTGCGATGCTAGCTTGTTCTATCCGTGGATAGCAGAAGACGAAAGAATCAAGCCCTATACACTATGCAGATATTAACGATTGCAAGAATGGCTTGGCCTGTCGCAGCCACGAAGACGCTGGGCGGATCTCCTCGATATTACACCAACCACGGGAAAGAGGAGGAGACGGGTGAGCGCATCTATGTCTAGTCACCACATTCAATGTACCCCGAGCTTAAGGTGGGCATGTTCGCAGCGCCGCTGCAGCGCGAGTTTCCCGGCACGATGCCATGGAAATAGGACACCGGCGGTCGAAATAGTGGTAATGAACGCTCAAGCAGGGAAGGTCTGACGGAGTAGAGGACTGACATGACAAGCTTCAGGAACGTGAAATTTGGTCGGAGGCACACGAGTCGGAGTGGAAGTCACCCTTCCGCCTTACTCGTAGGCGACAATTAACATCACACCTTGTTGCGCCGATTCAGATGCCTTCATGTGGTAGAGGAAGAGACAGGAAGAGGAATGCTATCATGACGAGCAGGCGCTGGTACGCGGTGAACGGATGATCGTGATTCATCGGGTTCGTCATATCTGCCTATCAAAGTCAGTGGCACGGTACAAGACGAAGTATTTATTAAGTGTTCTGGGCGTTAGCTAGGGCAGACTGACACGTTTGTGGCTTTTGTGTGGCTGTGGCATGGCTCTAATGGGAGTGGTTCATATTGAATCCGCTGTTACAATGCTATCATAAGTCGTCGTGAGTACACCCTACGTCTATAAATCATAGCCCTTTCTCTCTAATATCCTCCATGAAGGCCCTTATCCTAGCAGATGTGCGGACTGTCTTGAAGAACGTTTGTCTCTGTTGCGGCTTCCAGTCTGGTGGGAAGCTCTCCGTCATCATCCAATGCCGCACTGTCTGCAACGGCACCTTCTCCTCCGCGCCGCCAAATATTCCCAGTACCAGTGCCATCTCTCCCCTCGCAACTTCAGCATGCAAGGCATCCATGTCTTTCGACTCCGCCTCTCGTCGCACTCGGGCTTTGGCAACATCGAACGCGGTCAAATGCTCTCCATCAGCCGAGTCGGCTTCGAGCGCTTTCATATATTGAGGCTGCGTGACATTTGGGGCGTATTCGTCTCCTGGTTTGGTATCCTCGTGTATCAGGGATGCGTTGTGTTCTACTCGGCCGTGTCTGCAGAAATCCTGAAGAGAAACCTCTGCGAATTGACCCAGCAGAATAAATCCACCATAGGTCAAGAACGCCGCAAGTGGATATGTCAAGTTGTATCCTTCCTGCAAAGCCTTGATTAGGACTCTAGGTCGGATATTCCTCCCGCTTCTAGGCCTTACGATTGGAGATAAGCTTCATATAAACCAATAATTGAAACAAATCGCGTACAGATAACCGTGGTTAGCCAGTGTATTCAATGCGGGACACGGTGATCGACTATCGTCTTGTCCTCTGGGAACGAAGGGATGGTCCTCAGGAATTGAAGCTAATTCTCTTTTTTTGCAGACGCCGAAGATCGACGAGATGTGAGTAACACTAATCCGGTAATGGTGCCATCAGAGTTACTGATGGACGAAACCGTCAAATGAAACGCTCACAATACTCTGATTAGGCACACGAAACTGTTCAGAAGGAATGCAGGTATCGAAGCTTGACTCAAGGATTTGGGAGGCATCGTATGAAAGGGTAGGAGGGCGTACAAAGGGGTACGAAGCAAAAACTCGTACGGAAGGCAGTCGTCAGTACATACGTAACGGTCGTCTTTTCTCTAAATATTCGCCCCCCTTCGTATCGGACCTAGGCAGACGCCCGCTGTTTGAGTTATCTCTTCATCATTGGCTCGTTATGCCGTCTGGTGGCGATCCCATCAACCGTTGTGCAGAAGGCTGTGTATCGGCACCACTATCTCCGAGTACTCGCACACCCCGGTCTTCGACTTCCGCCACGTTTCCACTAGCTCGCTTGCCTTTCCAAGCTTGAAGCCTGCAGTAGACCTTAAACAGCACAGCAAGTATGCATAGCAAGCGGGGAGGCACTGCTGTTCTCCATGAAACAAGATGCATCACATGAACCCGCAAGGACAGTATATGGAGCTTCTTCGTGCTGCAATCAGATACATGGTGGTGAAAACGAAGCAGGCGAACCATTCTGAGGGCAGCGTGTTGCGAATGCGGGAAGGCAGATTGCGTCCTCTTACTCGAGAGCGTGCGCTTGTGGCTTGCGAAGACGATGCTGATAGCAACCACTGGCACATTCATTCCTTCCGCAGCGAACGCAGTTGTCCAATTCCAGTCGTTCAACCAGAGATAAGAAATATTCCCGGCGTGTGGAGATGTGATCCCGCAAGATACGTGTGCTGCCCAATTGCTTCATCAATGTTTCAGTACGCTGTGTTGCGATGTGCTGCTTTCGACTTTCGCGGAACCTATTGAAGCAGAGTTCCGTCAGCGGTCCCGCAGTGACTCACACATCGGAATTTATGTTTTGCAATCTGGCATAGTCCTCCCACACGCCTGCATGAGAATGGTGAGCATGAGTCCTGTTTCGAGAGATGGAACACACATAATTGAGGGGAGTCTTATCCCACATACATATGTTCCAACGGAGTCCGATGGTTTCGGTCTGATCGGTAACACCTTGATTTCAAGGCGCACATTCGCAAGTCCCCGGGATAGCCGAGCGCGTCAGCCACACCACCCTACCACACAATAACGGCTCCTAGCGAATCTTGCATGCCGATGCAGATCCTGTAATATAGGTAATAGGGCCCAGAAATTCGTCCTCTCGACAGGCGCCTTCAGAGTTACAACAAATGATGAGGGCACCATGATTGCGTTTGAAAGCATGCCAGGACGCTCCATCATACTTCAGCTTGAAACCAAGTTGTAATCAAGTGACGTATCGGTAGACATGGCGGACAAAACACAAGGCAGGGTATTTGCCGCAAGTTAAGGCGGGGAAGTCGGCCATTAGAATTCCATGGTGGCACTAGGCGGTCCGGGATTGCGGTGCTGGGTAGTGCTAGTTGGTCGGGACAACACCACGACCGTCCACGAACTGGACGCCTCAGTCAGCATTACGGTCCGACAGGCTGACGGTCTCACCTAGCATTGCCATCACTGTTGGCTATGCCGGTATTCGGTCTATAAAACTGTGGCAGCCTCGTCGTGCGATGGTATTCATCGTGTGCCCCGCAGCATCTTCCCGCAAATGCCTGTTATTTTTCAGCCAAGCTTCAGCCATTTGATCGCTTTCTTCGCCGTACTTCTGGGAATGTTCAGGTAGCTCTGCGATCGCCAGATGAATGAGCTCTTGATCTAACCAAAGTAAACCCAGGTCGTTCTTGTCAAGAAGGCCACGGGATTCCCTACAAATGAGCTTACCAGATGATCATCCATATATTCCTAGAGGCGCAACCGATAGTCGTGCACCGTGTCCCGCCCTCAATACACTCGCTAACCACGGGTATCTGTAAGTTGCAGCTGGTCATCATGTGAAGTGGATTCTGACTAGGTCCAGGCCACGCAACGGCAGAAAAATATCCCAGTGGGACCTCATACGAGCGTTGCAACAAGGATACAACTGCTCCCTCCCACTGGCTATCTTCTTGACGTGGGGAGGGTACTTACTGCTCGCCCAATTCGGCCATATCAGCCTGGATGACTTACGCAGACATGAATACATCGAGCACAAAGCGTCATTGGTGCACGGGGACGCAGTGGACGATGAAGAATATGCTCCAAATGCCGTTGTGCCTGAGCTTATCGAGGAGTTCATGAGGGATGCAGATGACAGCAAGTTCGATGCCAGGGCCATAGCTCGGGCTAGGGTTCGGAGAGAGGCGACGTATACCACGCCGATGGATGCATTGCATGCTGAGCTAGCTCGGGGAGAAGTGGCGCTTGTCTTGGGTATCTTCGGCGGGCGAGACGAACGTGTGGATGCGGATACGCTGCGTAATTGGCTAGAGCATGAGCGCTTTCCGCCAGGTTGGGCGCCTGTTCATCAGCAAACTTTGTGGCAAACCATTAAAACCGCTGCAAGGATCAGGGCACATATGAATGAATTGAAGGCGAAGAGTGGATGAGTTGTCGGTTATAATAGTACCAGATTTCAGGACATTCCATACCTTACGTCACACTAATCATAGATAACTCACGATTATTATGCCGCCAAAGACCCAGGGCAGCGAGAGTTCCGACATATCCGCAACTTCAAATCAACCTTGGACTGCCAACAAGTCGTTGGTGTTAATCCCAGGCCGCCTCGTTCACGGAGGGGGTGTCAGTTCGTCCTCGTCAAATGCAAAGCCAGTGGTTGAATATTATGTCAGCGACTGCATCAGTAAACCCTGAGAGCCTAACTTCAGGCTCCTTTTCCAGCTACCGACAAAACGATATAGACTCCCTGGATTTTTCACGATGGAGCATCTGCGACAGATGTCCTTGTCAACACAGATATGGTAGCGAAAGCAGGCCTCCCAGTCCTCACCCGTCGTCCATGCTCTAAGCATAGCGTCTTTCTACCGGACTTGGTGGTTTCTCTGTCATCCGAGCTCCATTGCGAAATTTCTGCGAATCTCTAGCTCGTTAGATGGGGGTAAGCGTGGGAGCCGCGTCGATTTCGATTTACGGTTTCTAATTGGCTCCTGCACCCTTGCATACACGATGTTTGTAATGTAACTATAAAAATCTACTTATAATGACTACAACTTCCGGGATAATGCCCATCACACATGTTTGTAGTCAACTTAGCCGAGCTAGCTTGCCAGACTTTCCAGGCTGCATAGGCAATTTTGATTAGAGCATTGGGGTTTTCCTGATGGACGGTCATAGACAGATCATTACCAGACAGACCGCTTTGACTACTTCAAGCTTTCGGAGACGAAGTAATTACAGGTCCGAACAGTAAGGATATATCGGCATTTACCGGCAGTGAACCGAAATTCCAGTCGGCGGTGATTATATCCATCAATCCGTCATTCGAATTGTCTCTCTTCAGAGTCAAGCTGAAAGTGTACGTGTGTTCATCAAGTACAAGCGCATCAGACGATCCATCTCATACCATTTTCTTCTTGCGGACGAGCGCCCTGGTTCCCTCAAAGACCGTTATTGCGGTCTCGGAGTCGCTAGGGGTCCAACTTGCACTGAGTGCCTGTCTTGTTGGCAATAGTCAGGTTGATGTATCACAGCTCTTGGTAAACAAGGATGGTCTGCGAGACACTATCGAGCGGCTAATTAGATTCGTACACGTGTTGATCCATGTAGGTTACTTTTCTCAAGGAATCCAGCTGGGGGATGCGAAAGGCTGCCCTCACACTGATATGAACCTTGGGATATAGATCTCCGACTGGAGGTATGCTGACCATTGCGCCGGGCTGTACGCAACGAGCGGTGAGATTAGCATACACACAAAAGCCTTCCGAATTCTTTCCCGTGACGTATCCGGAACTTGCCCAAGGGTATCCAGCTTCCTGTGATTCTTCGACTCACCGACATTTCCTCTCCGGTCGTATGATGAATGTCCACATCTGCATGGCTGTGTTCCAGACGTAACGCCTCGCGGTATCTGAGTGAGCAATGGCATGCAGGCTTGTTCTTCGGTCATACACGGCCGTTCGAAACATATCGCCACCTTGCTGCCACCGCGACACTCAAATGAATCCCGTGTCTATTCGTGAGTAGTATTATCATTTCAAACGCCGCACCTGACGTGCTTTCCGAAGGAATAACCTTTCACTTCCGTCCATCCGTGAGTCATACGTCACAACATCTGCAGTACTTCGCAGGATTCAACCCCACGCTTCTAAAGCCTAGATGCGCGTAAACTCTCTTCGTTATAGTCAAGCCGCCATGGCGTAATCGTGAGCCTGCGCAGATCGTTCCCTTTCGGGATTTCTTATTCCCGCGTGTCTCTAAGGCCACGACGCAAATCACTGTAGAGGATGAGCGTGCCTGGATCAGAGAACGATACGTCTCATCCGTACTAACCTTGATATCTGACATCCGGTGTACTCGAGGTGCTGAAGGAGCCGGTGCGCTTAGGTATGCTTCCGCCTTCCTATGAATGCTGCGATCTAAGCTGGTAGTTTGACAGAACACTATCTCAACGTCATAATACCCCGTAGTCGTGTCGTTACGCGTTTTCCAATCCAGGGTATCCTGTCGGACTACCCTGGGGTCCAGGCATGGTTGGTTTGGATCCCGAAAGTATCAGCGACCAATGTAAACGCCGTCTTCAATACCTGCCGCATCATGTCGCATGATGTAATCCAGTCCCATCCATAAACTCGTCTTGCCTTATCGGAAGTTATCGATGCTCATGGACTTTCTGGTGCAGTTCTCGTACAGGGATAAGCATCACACTAGCGGCATCCATGTTTCACTTCCGGAGATCGCATTGAGCCAAGGGTTTGCCGACCTCCCTCGATAGCTCGATCCCTATTCCGAGAAACCCGAATGATCGAAGCAGACCGAAGTTGCTAGGCACAGAAAGCATAGTGTAAATCATCAGGGGCTACTCCGCACCGGTGCGATCAGGACATCGTTGCGCCACTATACGAGCGACTGTCCATATGTTTTTTAAACGACGGCTCAATCGTTCGATTCGGGAGTGCCTACTGCCGTGCCGCATAGCACCAGGCGTAAACTTTGATTCCGAAGTAGGATAGCCCATCAATTGGAGCAGAATATTCAGCGCATGACAGTGATCCAGAACCGCTGCGGGCCGACCAAGGCTAAGGATGCTCGAATGATTAATCCAAGGCGGCAGGTTTGTGATGCGCACCTCGCTAGAAATGGCAGGATCACCGTGTCATCGGGTCGGATGGCCAAATAGGGGATATCGCTGTCGCTCTAGCTAACATAGAATATTATCTTTTCTTCGCAGCTGGCTACAGCCTACTGGACTTTATGCGCCAAGGATCTAATTTTCTTTTTCCGTTCGATATAATACAGACTCTCAGGAGAAAGTGTTCTTGGTCGGCTGATGCCGACCAATCGCGGAGATGGAACTGACTTTCGAATGAGAACGCCTGGGACCTTCGTCTTCCGGCGCAACAGCATTGCTTGGTCTTCCGGCTCCGGTAACCCTGGGTCGCACGGCACCTCTCGGAGTAGCAGCAATCTTCAACGGTCAGCGTCGCTGCACCCACCTACCCTGGCCTGCGAGCTGACTACCTGTTTACGCGGAATTTTCGTGGAGGTACGTGGGGCTGTTCGGCTCAACACGTCTCGTGCAGCGGGCTCTTTTAGTATTGAAGATTAACGTCGCCGTCTTTAGTAAATCGTGATAATCTGCTGCTTCTGACGGCGTTCCACCTTGGATTTAGGGCTCTGCTTTTAGGGGCGCAGGATCCGGGAAGTCGAGACTGCACGAGTCGCAGACACCTGTTCGCCGTGGTCCGGTTTACCCTTTGGCAAGTAACGCTACCTCGGCGTTCCCAAAAATACATACATGTCAGGAGGTCCACATGACGATTGTCGATGTTTATCGGTGCATCGCCCTTCCGAAATATATGTGATTGAAGAGATGTGCGCCGTTTGCGGTGCATTAGCTGAAGGACCATACAGGCAAGTGCCCTGGGATTCTCCCTGGGACATCTTCTGAGATACCCATGAGGTAACGCTCGTGACGTCGATTGAATCCGAACTTCGCGCCTTATTTGTTGCACATGCTGGGCAATCCTCGGGCCTGTGAGGAAGCTCGGGTCCATAGCTACTTAAAGGCAACCGTTTGACCACGGCTTCTTCGTGCTGCGACGGACCAATTTGGGTATGTACGTGTTCCAGCCCAGTCTTGTGATGCTTGGTTCGAGTCAGTATAACCTCGAGGCAGAACCTAGCGTTGAATGATGTTGACATCCTAATATATACATAGGGCGATAACATTGCGCAAAGAGGTAAAACGATGCCGTGGATCCAGCGCTCCCGTGAACGATTCCATATTTCGTCACTGTACCGGTGCTTATAAGGCTGCTTTCCACGGGTATCTCGTAAAATCCTCTCATGTGCTTTGCATCCTGCAACATCACTCGCACAAATCGCGGTGATCGCCCTCACTTTCTTCCATCCTGAGGACTAGGTCGTCCTCCTGTGCTGCGTCATCAGTATCGGCATCTATACATACCACCGATCCCACAGCCTTTCCGCCGATTTAGAGATCCTGCGTGACGTTCCGTTCTTCTAAACTCTGTCTGCTAACTTCTTCGAGATATCATCATTACCCCCACGCTCATATATAGCCCTGTCTTTAAAGGACGTCACTGTGCTTGCCTATTCACTATCGCTGGTCTGCCGTCATTATGTCGGTCAGCGAGGCTGGTTCATGTAATTCCTCAAAAGTGCTCCTCCCTAGTATACGGGAGCTATTCCCTGGTGAGTAGACCCGTCGCACTTCCTCGTTCTACGTTTCAGCTTCTAACTTATCGTTGCTCTAACAGAACAGTATTCTGCCCCTTTACCTCGTCCAGGTGTAAGAGCTAATGTGTCCCCAACCTCCGCCACTCGACATCGGATGGCCGCACCCCTCCATACCCCCGTCGAACCCCGCACAGGATGCGGCGACAGACTTTCCAGAACAACGTATCCCTCAGCGGATTTCCACTACAAGGCATCTACTCCGCGCGACGCAGGCGACGAGGCTTCTGTGAAGCATCGCGGAGAACGTCACTATCCGAGGTCGTCAGACTTCCCCGTCGCGCTCGATCGGATACCTGATGGAGCCAGGTCACCCCCAATGGCGCGCGTCCACTCATGCGACTCGCCAGTTTCGACTCCGAGAGCGATGACGCCCTTCAGCTATCGCAGCCCGACGCCTTCTCACACTTTCACGGTCCTGCGATCGGACCCTGCTATGGCGTCCCTTGAGCACGTCGCCTCTAGCGCTAATCTGCAGGACCTCGGACCTCACCAGAGCCCGGGATCGAATGGTTTGCAGGTGACGGCTGCTGGCGTCAAGGCTTCGCCATCCTTTCGTGTTGCCATGCAGCCGCCCGTTACGTCCCCGGTGCCGACGCCGAAGAAAAGGGCGACGACCTCCGACGATATGCAGGGTGTATCAAGTATCAGACGGGGGCCCAATGTGGATGCGAGGCAGAATAGTACGGGTGGTGCTGCCGTTGTCAGAGAGCGTTCCTCCCATGTATCTGGATCCGGTCAAGCCTCCTCACCATCTTCCTCGGGTTCCTCTGTCCCCGCGCCTGCAAGTTTCACTTACACCTTTGACTTATTCACTTCCTCGTCGTGTCGTTCGGGCGGATTGTCTAACGATGTGGACGGTCGGCCAGGGTCACCCAGGGGGGGGCGCAGGCATACTTGCCAAATATGCCACAAACGTTTTAATCGCCCAAGCAGTTTGCGGATACACGAAACTACACACACCGGCGTTAAACGTAGGTGTCTTTCGCCGTTTTGTGTAATCCCGCGCCCTGTTGACGAATGGCCTGTTGTTCACGTAGCATTTCAATGTCAGTGGCCTGGATGTGGAAGACTATTTAACGTCAACTCTAATATGAGGAGACATTACCGGAATCATGTCAATGCGAGCGGCGGCGATAAGCCTTTGCAGTCCCCCATGTTACAGTCCCCTGCGATCCCGGCCTATCCGAGTGCTGGCCATACTGTGGATGCGGACCGTGATGAGGAAGGAGACCATGTCTCTAGCGACGGTTACGAGAGCTCTCAGGAATCTCGCATGGACGTTGATGAATGTTCTGACACTGGGCTTGACTCTCTGGATGAGATGGATGAAATGGAGAGAGACGTCGACTCTCATAGCATGAACCCTCATACCTCATCAACGCCGTGGTCTGCAGTTCGTAAGTCAGAAGATTACGATGATCGCTATGGGCGCCCTTTCCCGCCAACCTTCTCCCAATCGCATGTCCGGCATACTGTGACCCACAAAGAAGATGAATCCCGGACGCCCTCACCGACATCTTCCTCTACTCCGCCAGGGTCGTCGTCAGCCGGCTCACGGTCTACAGCCTCGACTAGCGTCAGTCCGCCTGCGGACCGCCTTCGCGCTCACCTCAAGCCCGCAACATTTCCATAGGCCGAGCCCCTTGTGTTCGGAGTGTGTTCGTTCTTCTCTCTCGATCCTGTATGGTTCCTTCTTTGGGTTATTGTAGTTGGAATCTAAAGCGCTGTCGTTTGATGCTTTCGGTCTGCTTGTTATTCCCACCATCTAGACATCGAATGTCTACGGACTCGTGGAACCAATGTATCCCTACTCCCTCTGTATCGATAATTGGCTGAAATTATATACCTTATCCGAACGTGTAGCTAGAGTAACTTGTACTCTTTGACCTGATTTGTAGCACTTCCTATTTATTCAATCAAGGCAGACTGCTATGCTCTCCAAAAGGAGCCTTTTACCCTCTTCCCCACGGCGTCGTCATTCGCGCGCTGCGACTACGGCCAGGGCCAAAGTTTGCATAATGTTGCCACCTCCAGAGACTCTTCACCAGATCATTGGGAAACCTTGCCGCCATCGGGCCCTTATGTGCTCAGCAATGTCCGTCGTAATCGTGACTGGAGCCAACTAAGACTGGGAGTTTGTAAAGGTACACCTAAAAGGGGTATCCCAAGATATCGTCACTGTCGCAAGGGAATGCATGGTAGGTTCGCGCCTTGGTTCAAACCTTGAGAGTAGCTTCATACTCGCACCATTACTCCTCAAGCACCCTCGGTAGTGAGGCACATCAAAGACTCGCGCGGAAATATCCATCCACAAATGTCACTTAATGTTGGATTTCTGGGAATGGGCTATATGTATCGTGGCCGCGTAGGGAGCCCCATTCCGTTCCAATGATGCGGCTAAACCATGTAGTTGATGCGGCGATGGGAAGTGTTGAGAGTGATCCTGATCATCAAGATGCGGGAGTACCACCTCGGCCGGGTCCTTATTCGTCGTATGAACATCATCAAAGACTGACCTTCACCAAGGTTAGAGAAAACGGGTCAGCATATGCGCACGGGTCGCGATTTTGACCTGCCTATAGTGACCAGCTTAAGTAGATGGGCGCGAAATGACTGGAGGAAAGGGTGAGAAATCGAATGGCCTTAGATAGGTTCCGGCGCGTGATTTGGCATTGCAAATGTCATATCTTATTTACGACGGTCAAACCGTTTAGTGATCCTCAAGTAAACGTACCATCGACACATACCTCACGGACTGGCTCAATTCATCACGAATTACTCGGTATTTCCGGCAGTAAGAGTGAATCCGACGAGTCAGCTCGATGCTCATCTGAATCAGAGGATTATGGCCATCCAAGCCAAACAGAGCAGTAAGCGAGCTGCTCCCCGTGTTTCGCTCTAGATACTTTAACCATGTTTACCTGTAAGCTGTATCTATCGGATAGATATGTTGGAAGTCATTGACATAGCTCAGGCTAAGAGACGAAACGGACAACTCCCATAGGAAATGGATGAACGCTCTCTGCCAAACTTCCGGCTTGTCGTACCCTTGCAACTTTCCTAGAGCGTCGTGAAAGCTTGGCTTTCGGACGCTTGTGGCAATGACTTGGTACGATAGAGCATAGTGCATCCCTGTCACATAATATGGGTGCACGAGAGGGGATGAAATACGCACCAACTCGATGCCACTACGAGATGCTGTATACGCGCCTTGCTGCCCGACGGGAATATTGGACGACTTCTGACCCACGTCTAAAATAATTCGATACAAGATCATTTCCTGTCGAGCGTCGGAATACATAGGGTGTCCATGTTGGAATTTCGGGGTAATCGGACGAGCTTGCGAGCTCGCGCGCGATAGGACAGGGCCGTTGTAGGCGGCCGTAGTGGATGAATATTTATGCGGAACTCATATATAGTCGCTGTATCTACTCGTTGTACAGTACGCGATTGCCCTTCGGGCAACCGACCGCCTGGGGCAAACGTGCTTGTCTTCCGTTTGCTTGGAATATTTCAACAGTCCACTCTACCTGATACCTTCAAGCTTTACTCGAGTATCTACAAGTAACGGTTTGGTTCAGTCGCGGTGATGCTCTCAGTCCAGAAAAGAGCTGAGTCGAGATTTCGCGATTTGGAAGAGACAGTGAAGAAGATTCAAGCTTGCTCTACTAGGTCACTCGTGTCGGCTGAGTGTGCATATGAGAACTGAATCCGGAAGTGACGGAAAGTTTCAGGAAGCAAACAGCGCAAGATCAGTTTCCCTAATGCCACTTTGACAAACATGAGCAAATTAACATCGCATCTGGAACATATGCCGGATTTGGGCGGCTGGTTTATGTTGCATAAATGATAATCCGAGTCTCTCAGCGAGCCAGTGGCAAGCGACTTTACGAATGAGGAATACGGGGTTCGTCTGTTCAGTGTATAGCTTTGCCTTTGTTGAACGTCCAAATCTTGAAAGCCGATCGTCCCCAACCGCCGTCTTAGCTGACGCTTCTAAAAAGATACTAGTACACAAGACGTAGTGTTGCTCCTGCAGTGAGGTGACTTTGCAGACTGTCTCACTTCACTTCAAGTTTGACGTACTTCACCCACTGCACAGTCGTCATGAATTGCCTTTGAAGACTGCATTGAAGTCTGATCATGGCCACGTGCTGACCGTTAATGGCAGCGCGCGCCACCAGACGCGCTCGCCCTGCGTCCAAGTGGTGTCCGAGTCGCAGAGTCGCATCTACTCCGCGTCATACCCCGTGCAGAGATAACAATAGAATGGCTGTGGCAGATAGCCTCCATGATATGCTGGCAGTTTGCACTGGGCTCAAGAAATTCGTCAGGAGTCCATATGACAAGGTGTCGACTTGACTTTTGGTATCGTACGTCCTGGCAGATGGTATGGGCATTATTAGTGTATTTTAGAGTACAATGTATATGCAGATATCCCCGAGTTCGTCCTACGAGGACAAGTCAGTGCCTTCACCACGCGTATGT